ATAGTTAGCAATATTTGTTTACATTTATCAAAAGCTGCTATATAGCATTACCAAATTGAGAGGACAATTCTATAATTTTAGATTATTAACATTACGTTCTTACAGAGAATATGACGACTTTCTTGTGGACGGCTTGACCGATGTGTTAGAGCAATGGCTCAAATATTTTGACGTTTACCTCAAGAATTAGGTCGAAAGTATAAATATGACAGCGAAACCTGACTTTCTGTGGTGGCATTCAATAATGTCGTTTGATCTTTCTTTGTTATTTTAACTCATAAAATTCCTAACATTTTGCCGAAGCACAATGAAATGCAGCAGCTGTAACAATCCGTCCGCAAAAACACAAAGGTCAAGAACCACTCAAACAAAGTGCCAAAATATGATAGAAACAGAAATTATAGACTTTCCATTCCGGCCGTTTTGATTTTGTAGAAAAAAATCAGCAATACGATAATTTTATGCTAAGGTACGGAGGTTGAGGATGTTTAAACAAAAAATCGACAGACGACGTCATGTGAAATTGAACATTTTGAGGATAGCGCTGTATGGTGTGATACAGAAAACACGTCGACGATGAGCAATAGCAACAATGGATCTGACTCAATGTTCAAATGAGTTAAGCGAAAATGAAAAGAATCCATGGAGGCAATACAAGGCGGTGTGTATCAGATCACCTGACTATTCTTTACATTGCTTTTTCTCTGTTATTTTCTCAGAACGTTACGTTTATCTCTCTCTGATTCTGATGGTAATTTTTTATGTTATAGGAAGATGTTCAAAATGAGAGAAAATACATAGTGTTTGATAGTTGCCTGAGACAGTGAGTCAATGCCCATGTTGTGGTGAAAGTTGTTGGGCAAACAGGCTGGTAGGCATGGTTAACATGTAAATGTCATTGTGGTTATGTTCGAGACTGGAATAGCCAACACTCTGCATGGGCAAATGCCTTTGGGTAACTTGGTCTTCTGCCAACATCTTGTTTGTTGTGGTTTGTAGCCCAGCAAAGTTCTTCAATTCATGTTTACTCAAAGCATACAATTTCTGTCGAGCGCAAATGAAATGAGCAATGTTGACATGTTTCTGTAGTATATGTAAGCATATACAGAATCAATCAGAAAGGTGTTAGGAATAACGATACATTATATATGTGTATTAAACTGGACAGATATAAGTCATAGTGCTAATTGGGATGGCACTATGTGCTATTGTTATCTTCTGTTCTGCTTTGATACCGCATGGTTTTAGGACAAAAGCTCATTATATAACCCAAATAATTAAATATATGTTGTTTTGTTTTGCACAATAATAAATTAACAAAGAAACATTAACTTAACGGAAGATGAAGATGTGATTTGCAGTTATGTGCCAGATATGGTTAAATAAGCTGACGGTTTGGAATCTAACAACATTTTGAACCCAGCAGTTCAGGGTAAGCAATTCTTTAACAAATCATGAAAACATAGTTAAGAATATCACATAATTATGTTAAACGAAGATAAGTGACCAACTCTGGATGGAACAAAAAGATGTCAGGCAGTTTGAACATGAAGTGAGCACAGACATGGCGCTCAAATCGAAATCCTACATTCATCACAAGAGACCAAAAATGAAACACTACTTTGATGTATGGCATGTAGCAAAAATTATAGATTGTAATAACAAACCAACCTTTTACACATTTCATCAATAATCAAAATCAACAGGAATTAAAAAAGAACATTTGGGCGCTCGAAAAGTGGTTTGCAAATTGATTGGGCCCAATCAATTTCCAACCATGCATACTGGTGTGCTGCTTCCAGCAATGGTTGATGAAGAACTTGTCAAGGCAAAGTGGTTGTCAGTTCTCAACCATATATCTGACATCCTGAGGGACAGTAGTGATATTTAAAATATGATGAACATGTATTTAGGCTAGAATGTGGATAAAAAAAGGAATTATTGTAAGCAATAAATTTCAAGGTAACATCAACATTCTTTTTTTTTACGGTATTCATGCAGTCACCGGTTGAAAAGCTTATATTTGGTTTCTCTTTGATTGTTCAGTCGATATCTCATGACAGATCAATGGAAGAACTCAGTTATAAAAGTTTATCCATCAGGGTTTCCATGGGCAGTAATTCTTTTGCACCAAAACATACTTAATTTTTTCTACAGATCAATGTAAGCAAAAGATAATATCAAAACAGTTGTGTGATTTGTAAAAGAATGTCATGCAAAAGCAATAAGTTGCAATATTGTGCAAGCATAAACAACATTCATTTGTGATTGTTATTGCTTCATCACTTCATTTCGTAGGAATGAAACAAAACTCTGAAAACAGAATAATTGAAGACAGAATTGATTTGGAGGTAAACTTATGGAATTCAAAGCGAGGGATATATCAAACCAGTGAAAATTGAGCAGCACTTAGCATGGTTAGCACAGAAAAATAAACACTTTAATTTGGTGAAATAGCATAAATGTTTGCTTTGCGGACGGGACTTGGTGAAAAAGAAGTTTTGTACTGCAGACGCATTAATCCAACACTGTCCAAAGAAGCTCTTGATGTGGCTGGAGTGAAAGATCCTGTCCATTGAATAAAGTAAACAAATGAATGATAAAAGCATGATATGGCTTCCTAAAGAAATAACGTTCCGCAGAAGGGCATAATTGATGAACGGGGCTTTTCGTAGCAACATAAAGCCCCTACCATTCAGTAGTGTTGAGGATAATCAAATCCTTTGTATGATATCCGAAGGCGATAACGGTTCAGCACAAGAAGGTCGCGCTTTTTCCCCGGCACAACCACCAGACCGTCACTGTCGGTGGCAAATATTGCTTTGATAAAATTTTGTCTGAATGTATCGGCGTGCAACTTCTCGACATACACGTAATTATACTTCTAAAAGGTAATATTTACTCGTTTTGTTCTCTGGGCATGGTTAAATGTCATGTGTGTATACGACCATAGATGTTTTTAAGCATTTGTTGCTGTGACTCTTATCTGGTATGAAATATGATCGCCATGTATCAGAAGGATCAGTGTTGCTTACCTCTTGGCAACATATACTTTCCGTCCTGTATCCATGACCACACAAAAAGCCGCATAAAGATAAAACATTCGCTTTTACTTTTGGAAAAATGAACATCAATAAATTAACTAACCATTCAACATTTCCAATCTTATGAATATTCATCTTCGATGACGGAGAATTGTCATTACATGACATGGGTGGCCGAAACTCAAACAGTTGTACCTTAACCATTGTTATTGAAAATATCATAATCAACTTTATTTCGAAGAATTCATTAATTTTTTAATTAAATAAAAATAAATAACTAACAAACTACCTAATAACAGAACACAAGTTGTAAATCAGTAGGCGTCCTCGAAAGAATAACATTTCAAACCTAATTGCGTCATCATTCCCAGTTCTGAACTTTAACAATCTCACGGCGTTTGTAATGGTCATCGAACATCGATGTTTTTATCGATTATAACCTAAATATTTGGATATTTGGACGACTTTGAAACTTGAGCGTTTTATTTTCACTGTAGAACGTATAAAATCAATTTGTCTTCTATGCATGTGCTTATTGTAGAATATTTCAGAATGTTTCCTCAAAAGCAAAAGTTGTAATATAATTTTTTCTATCGTCTTTAGCTGTTATATGCGGATGCGATGACTCAGACTTTTGTTTTTACTACTTAACGTCATCAAACACGACATGCGCAGAACGCGTTTAAAAGTAAAATATGGGGTTATTGAGTCTTATAAAGACAATTGATAGCCTATCAAAATTTTGTCTTAAGAGGCAAGGTAAGACTATAAAAGTTTTACCCTTGTATCATTCAAGTGAAATTTTCTCATTAACAACTGTACTACAATTTATTAAATTGTATAGGAAGACGTATGAAATGGCTTGTCGTCCTAATGTTTACGAAAGTGGATATGAAGAATCAAGATTTAAGACTGTTGTTGATGAAAATTTTTACTGTTCATTTGTCTGAATGTCATGAAAGATGCCAGAATGTGCCATAATCAACACAGTTTTGTCGTGAATGTATTGAAGAACATCTACGAGTTAACACAAAGATCCTCAATGTCAAGATGATTTCTGTAGCTACGCTTCATCCAGCGCGTGTTATAAATAACTTGATTTCAAAGTTAAAGATCAACTGCGACTACGCCAGTCGTGGTTGTCCTGAATTTATAAATGTCGAAGATCTTGAAAGACATGTTGGTGGCTTTTGCTCCAGTGTTGTGTTCTAATGAACGTTGTGGTCTGGAAATAAACAAACGAGACAAGATTAAACATGAAACTGAATTATGTGAATACAGAAAGATTGCTTCTCACGACTTTCGAGAGATTAGCGAAATGTTTCAACGAAGTTTTGAAGACAAAATGGAAATGCAAATGAACAACTTAAGGGAAAATAGACGAAAATTTTTTTGAAGTAAAAGATTCCGTGAAACCATTATGGTAAAATATCAGTAGAATGTTTCGCTGAATACAGTGACCAAAGAAATGATGGAATCTGTAGTAGAAAATGTTGAACAAAATCTTTCTACAGTGACCAAAAGAAATGATGGAATCAAGGAAAGAAATAAAAGATGTTCAACAAAATCTTTCTACAGTGACCAAAGAAATGATGGAATCAAAGGAAAGAAACAAAAAGATGTTCAACAAAATCTTTCTACTGTGATTGAAATGAAAAAATAAAGCCATGATGTTTCCAATTTGGAAAAGATGAATATAAATGAACATATGTTCATGAATTGAAATGGTGTGATGTAAGATGTGTGCTGGTAACTTTCAAGGTGGTTCCTCAAAGAGTGTTGAAATATTTTCATGGAAGGAGGAGAAATGGTTTAACATTGCATCAATGGAAAATGAACAGTGGGCTTCATCATTTATTTATAATGATAATTTATTTGTTGTTGGAGGAGTGTTCTGCAAGTCAATGGAGACATTGAATATAAAACAGGACATGGACATTTTGAGCTTCCTATGTATGTAGTGGTCATCAAACTGTTGTTTGTAAACAACAAATCCTTGTCATTGGAGGATACATTGGTAGTAAAGGATATTCAGATCTGATCAGTGAAATAAAAATTACAGGTGCAACATCTTATGTTTTGAAAGAGTTGTGTCATATGCCTGAACCACGTTATGGCCATGGTGCTGTTGTTGTTGATGATAAAGTTTTTATTTTTGGAGGATGGGGAAAAGATGGCAAAGTTTTATCTAGTGTTTTGGAGTTTGATCCAAGGACTCTTACATTTAAGGAAATGCCTCCATTACCTCATCTATTGACTCAAATGGCAACAGTTCAATGGAGAGATCAAGTTGTTCTTCTTGGAGGTTATGATGGAAAAGAAAGGTTGAACAGTGTTATCATGTATGACTGCAAAGCAGAAAGATTACAGTCCATCCATGAATCTGGTGTTGCATTATGCAGAATGATACAATTGTTGTCATGGGAGGTTGGATTGATAAAGGTAATTATCTTAATTCAGTGGAGTGTTTCAAAATGGGATGTAGTTCTTCATGGAAATATCTTCCTTCAATGAAAGAGCCACGATAGCATTCATAGCGAAGTTTTACCTTTTGGACAAAAGTATGTATAAGAAATTGCATCAAACGTTATAACTTACTAAAAATTGTAGACACTGGATGATAAATATGTAAAGTTAAATGTGTAAACCTTTAAAGCCTGTTGAAATTATTTCTCCACTGATTCACTTTAATGATATATATACTGTATATTGCAAGTTGTATCATAAAATACTATATACAGCATGTCTATCACAAACTTTGGTCATTAAAATTATATATTTACATGTTATTTATGGCATTTTTCAAATATATTACATGGCTTTGCTCACATCATTATTAAATTATGCGTTGAATTTGTTTGGACTATTTCCATGAAATATACAAAAGCAATTTGCTTAGAGACTATTTACATGGAGTGCGGTAACCCCAGCAGAAGGGTTATCCTGAAAGCGAGTCACCCGTGAATATGTTTTATAAGTAGCGTTCACACATGCGCACTAGGGGCACCTACTAGTGGTAGGTTTACCCTAATAACACCAACATTCAATCACTTCTTAAGACACACAAACTGGATATCAATTTTCGTGGTAGTTATTATTATACGCAACAAAATTTAAAACGTGACATACTTTATATGCATGGTAAAATTACAAGAATGTGGCTGTTGGTGTACTGCTTTCTTCATCTGCGATGTAGAACGTAAATTTCTTGCTATTTACTGGCTAAAATGACATAAATCAAATTGTTATTGCATTGATTGAAAATTTCCAGTTTCCTGGAACAACAAAATAACGAGGAAATTTTATGTCTGAGACTTTGTATTCTTGAGAGGAACGTGACGTCATCAATAATGTCGCATGTTTGGGTTTGTTACCTGGTTTTGTACGTCCAAAAAGTACATTTTGGCTTTCATTTTTTTTGTTTTGCGTTTGGCTACATTTGATATTTTTCATTTCAATGGACTGTAATTTTTCTATCATTTAAACCATTATAAGATGGTGGGACAGTCACAATGATTTGTGCTACACAGTGAAATTTAATGTTCCTCGGAAAAAACGATTATAAAGCACAAATATACCAGCAAAATGCCCCTCAGTTTAGCAAGTTAATATTTTAATAATAAACAGTTATTGGATGAGGTTGAGCATGATATCTAGAATTATTCAGACCGGGTCATGTATGTACCGAATGTTGGAAGACTTTGTTTTGGAATCTTAGCATGGAAACAATAAGTGAATTAACGCTTTAACCCTCTAGAAGCCGGACATTTTCGAAAGTTTGCACACATCTCGTTTGGTGAGTGCTGCTTGACGGACACAGTTTTCTGTTAAAAATCTTTATTATATTCAAACACCTTCTATCATTTCATGTACTTCATGTTACGCAGTTTATAATTTCCACACTTTCTTAAGTAGACTTCATATGTGATTATTTATCGTCAAATTACCTTATCATGATACGGGGTTTGTCTGTATTGAGTTATTCATATTGAAATACTATTTTGCTATGGGCAATATCTGAATGCTCTTTATGAAATGCCGAAATATGTGACACGCTGGAAAGGCGAACAGGATTGTGTGCAATGAAACTCTGAAGATGACAGCGCCAGGTTGTGAACGTCAGTCAACAATGCGTCTTCAGGATATACCATCAGAATAACGCTTTAACCCTCGAAGCGGACAGGATTTTTGCTTCGTTTGGTGAGTGCTGCTCGTGACGCGTTTTGAAGGTTAAACGATTTCGTTTCATCCTTGTTATGTTATTCAAACACCTTGTATCATTCATGTACTTCATATTACGCAGTTTATGGTACCACTTTTTAAGTGTAGACTTCATATAACAGTTGTTTATCTATCTAAGATAAAATTACAGCCGTCATGACTCAGGAGGTTTGTCTGTATTGTTATTCAGTATTGAAACTATTTATGGTCAATATCTGGTGCTCTTTATGAAATGCCGAAATATGTGACACGTTGGCAAACGGCGAGCAAATTCTTATTAAGTAAATGACTCTGAAGATGACAACCGCTAAGGTTGTCGAAACGTCAGTCAACAACAAAAACAGTCCTTCTCAGGACTATACCAACCTGGACAATCTACATTTACAAGCATGGAATTCATATTGTTTTGCAAAATGTCACAGCGTAACATTTAGATCAATGAATGTTCCAGATCAAGACTGCTCGCTGCATTCTTTCAAAGTCAATGTGCTGAAATTTTTGACGCTCTTCATCGGTGAATGGAAGCAAAGCTAAGTTCGAGATCAAATCAAAAGTACGCAAGTATTGAATGATTTCGATTCGTGCTTCTTTAATTAACTGGTCTCTTTAGTGACCGCAGTTCGACATTTTAATAGCCAATGTGGGCATTAAGAATAAAGTTCCTGCTCGTCCAAACGCTTTCTTCATCACTTTATTAGTTGAGTTACTTGCTCATCTGCATCATATATGGTTAAAGGACATGGAACATAAAATTCGGATTATTTGGTAAAGAGGTACGCTGTCGTAAGTTCACCAAAGTTTGAGCTCAAAGGATAAATATTTGAATATGGAGGTTTAAAGTTGATGCTTTACTGATAACGTATTAATGCCCGACGAGCTAGCGACAGCTACCGATGTCGTTGTGACGTAATAGTTGATGGCTAAACGCGGTCAATTGCGCGCTTCGTTCAAAATATATTGGTAACTTCTTAACAACACGACAATTTAGCATTGAAATATGGTTTATTGCGCCGCATTTAATTGTAAAACGGTTCTTCTAAGAACCACGAAACACAACAAAAGGTTTCTTTTCGTTTCCGAAACAAGCGTATGCAGGATATTTGTGAAAAATCCGACACAAAATTGGAAACCAACAAAAGAGCTCAAAATTGTGCTCGCAACATTTCGAGTTCGTGCTTCGTGCAAATTTCAAGCTTGATGCAATCAGTAGGATGGACAGCAGGACGGCTTCGCCTTAAGAAGGATGCTGTACCCACGATTTTGAATACTCTGTGGAACCCACAAGTATAGCATCTAAAAGGAAGTAGCCAACAAATGTTAGAACTGCATTTGAGAAGAGACAGAAGGCAGAGGTGAATATTATAGTTGTAGTTAGCAATATTTGTTTGTTATCAAAAACTAAAGCTATATGAACATTTCTATAATTTTAGATTATTGACGACGTTCTTGGAACGACGACTTTCTTGTAGGACGATGTGTCAAATCGGGATGTTTGTTGCCTCAGGAATCTAAGATGAAGACAAAAATATGAACAGAAACACAAACAAATACAGTGGTAACTAATTCAGACTAATGTCATTTAATCTTTTCTTTGTTATTTTAACTCATAGAAAATTCCTTATACCTTAGAAGCACAATGTGAAATGGTAAGCAGACATAACAATCGTCCGCAAAAACACGTAAGGTCAAGAACCACTCAAACAAAACTTACAAAAGTGCCAAATATGATAAGTAGAGGTATAGACTTTCCATTTCGGCCGTTTTGATTTTTAATGAAAAATCAACAATACGATAATTTTATGGTAGGGAGGTTGAGTTAATTTAAACAAAAATCACAGCACACAGACGACGTTATGTGAAATTGAACATTTGAGGATAGCGCTGTATGGTGTGATACAGAAAGCACGTCGACGATGAACAATAGCCACAATGGATCAGACTCTCAATGTTCAAATGAGTTAAAGTGCACATACAGCCTTTTCCAAATTCGTTGAACTTTTAAAGTTTAGACTGTGGAAAATATGATTCGAAGAAAATTTCATAAAAAATAAAAACAAAGAATTTTTGGCGGTTTGAATTGAAACTGCTTTTGAGCTCTTGTTCGGGGACAAAACGAGAGGTTTGTGACGTCATTTAAGGAACGTATAAATGCGCTGCACAAAACAACGTGAAATAACAATTCTTTATATATTGCTTTTAGAAATTAATATAAAAATTGTACGAAAATGTCGACATCCGATTCATCGATTATTTCTCCTAACGAAAGCTTGCTCGTCGTTAAAAATGGTATGCGATGAAGTGAAATGCCTTTCTCCGAACTGGCTACGTTAGAACAGCCAAAAACTGCACATCGATGGCTGTGTTTGTTTGTATAAACTTGTAAGTTGTTTTGGCAGTCAGTCTGTGTTCCTTAAATGACGTCACAAGTAAGTCCCATACCACGGATTAGAGCTCTCGACATTTTTTTACAAAACGTTGAAATTCAGGTTTTATTCGAAATTTGCCGAAGATAAACAAAAACGAAAAAGTTAACTAAATTCTGTAGCGGCATTTGTATTATTTATCAAAATCTATTTGAGAATAAAAACTAAAATAGTTGTATGTGCACTTTAAGCGAAAATGAAGAATCCGACAATGACAATGTGACGTTAGTACCAACTATCCAGTCACCTGACTATTCTTTGCGCTTTTCTCTGTTCTATGTTTCTCAAGAACGTTACATTTATCCTCTGATTCTGATGGTAATTTTTTATGTTATAGGGAAGATGTTCAAAATGAGAGAAATACAAAGTGGTTGTATTTTAATAAAGTTCTGTTCTTTGATAAACAAACTTTCATTTCTGTCAGAGCACATATAGCTATATTCAATGTTTGGTACACTGCTGTGTTTCAAATTGTTTGTATGCCAAAAGCATCTTCTAGAATCAATCAGAAAGGTTTTAGGAATAATGATACATTATATATGTGTATTAAATAAGTAAGATATCTGATCATAGTACTAGTCACATGATCTGGTAGCACTTCTTATTGTATGCTAATTGATATCTTTTGTTCGATACATGGTTTAGGACAAGCTCATTATGGAACTTAAATAATTAAATATATGTTGTTTTGTTTCTGCTTCAATAATAAATTAACAAAGAAACATTAACCTTGGAAGAGAGATGGAAGATGTGATTTCCTGGATATTGTGCCAAGTATGGGTCATATAGCTGCATGGATTTGAATCTAACAACATTTTAGACACACTTGTTCAGGTAACAATTCTTCAACAAATGTACATAAAACATGGTTAGAATACTCACATAATTATGTTAAACAGTCCAATGAAGTGACCAACTCTGGAGCAATGGAACTTGAGGAATTAAAAAGATGTCTGGCAAAGTTTGATGAAAGTGGGATGAAGGTGAAGTCAATGACCACAGACAGACATGCTCAAATCAAATCTTACATGAAAAAACAAAGACAAAAAATCTAGCACTACTTTGATGTATGGCATGTAGCAAAAGGTATAGATTGTAATAACAAACCAACCTTTTACATTTTCATCAATAATCAAATCCAACAGGAATTAAAAAGAACATTTGGGCAGCATCAAAAAAAGTGGTTTTATTGTCAGATTGGGCCCAATCAATTTCCAACCATGTATACTGGTGTGCTGCTTCCAGCAATGGTGATGAAAGAACTTGTCAAGGCAAAGTGGTTGTCAGTTCTCAACCATATATGTGACATCCATGAGGGACATAGTGATGTATTCCCAAAAGTGAATATGATATGTTAGAGCCTAGAATGTGGATAAAAAGGTATTGTAAGCGAATAAATTTCAAAGTAACATCAACATTCTTTTTTTTTGTTAACTAACTTCTGATCTTAGGTTGAAAAGCTTATGTTGAGCTGTCTTCGATTGTTGAGTCCAAGTATCTCATGACAGATAATGGAAAACTCAGTTATCAAAAGCAGACTTCATCCATCAAAGGTTTCCACCGAGTGGTAATTCTTTTTGCACCAAAACATACTTAATTTTTTCTACAGATCAATGTAAGCAAGGTAATATAAAAATGATTTGTGTATGATTACTTAAAAAAAGTCATCATTGCAAAAGCAATAAGTTGCAATAGTTGTAAACATAAACTTAACATTCATTTGTAGATTGTTTATTGCTGCTCTTCATTTCAATGAGAATGGAAACAAAGCTCATAAAATGAAGAATGATGGGGAAACAGAAGAGGAATTGATTTGGAGAGTGGCTTATTCAAATTCAAAAGAAGGGCAAGGGGATATCAAACCAGTGAAAATTGACAGCACTTATGGTTAGCACAGAAAAATAAACTTACTTTTCTCAAAGTGCAATGCAAAGCCAACATAAATAATGATTTGCTTTTCAGGATATGTTAAGGACTTGATGAAAGAAGTTTTGTACTGCAGACGCATTAATCCAACACTGTCCGAAGCTCTTCATGTCTGGAGTGAAAAATACCACCTGTCCCATTGACTTGCCACAAATCAAAAATCAGCAAAGCTGAAGCCATTTAAAACATAAATGTCGCTTCTATATATAAAAGATAATAGAAATAGCGTTCCACATGAAATAAACATAATTACAAATGAACAGACTTTGTCATACGCCATAAGCCCTACCATTCAGTAGTGTTGAGCATATTCAAATCCTTTGTATTCTCCAGAAGGCGAAGGAAATGCTCGGATTTTGTCTCCAGCACAAGAAGGTATGGGTAGTCTGTACTTTTCCCAACTTGCCATGCACCCAAGCCGTCCACTGTCGGTACAACGTGTAGCGTTATGTTTCTTGAAAGATACAAAATTTTGTCTAAGATACTTATCGGCATTATACACTTCTCGACATACACGTAATTATACTTCTAAGGTAATATTTACTCGTTTTCTTCACTCTCAGGTATAGGTCCAATGTCATGTGTGTACGACCATAGATGTTTTTATGACGGCTTCGTTTGTACACACTGTGGCAAACTCTTCCTCTTGTGTGATGCAAATATGATCGCCATGTATCAGAGGATCAGTGTTGCTTACCTCTTGGCAACATATACTTTCCGTCCTGTACTCATGACCACACAAAATCCACACTCGCACCTAAAAGATAAAAACATTCTTTTTACTCTGGGAAAAACAATGAAGCATCCATAAAATGCAACTAACCATTCAACATTTCCAAATCTGTGAATGTATTCATCTTCCGATGACGGAGAATTGTCATTACTATGACCACCTTGCGCGTTGGCCAAAGGCTCAAACATGGGTTTTGTTATTGATGAAAATATCATAATCGGCATAAAAGAAGAATCCATTAATTTTTGTTAAATAAAAAACAAATAACTAGCAAACTACCTTAATAGCAAACTACCGAAAGTTGTGCTAGTTGTAGAACGATATAAGAAAAATGCTTGTTTATGTCAACTATTACGTCATTCATTCCCAGTTCCCAGACTTCAACAATCTCACGGCGTTTTAGCAATGGTCATCGAACATCGTGTTTTATCGATTATAACCTAAATATCTTTTGAAATATTTGCGGACGACTTTGAAACTTGGTACGTTTTATTTTCACGCCGTAGGCATTACAATAAAATAAAGTTGTCTTCTATCTTGCATGTGTCCTTTAATGTAGAATATTTCAGAATGTTTTCCTCAAAAGCAAAAGTTGTAATATAATTTTCGTCTTTAGCTGTTATATAAGAATATACGGAGAAATTGCGATGACTCAGAACTTTTGTTTTTTACTACTGTAACGTCATCAAACGACATGCGCAGAACGCGTTGTAAATGTAAAATGGGATAGCCCCATTGAGTCTAATAGAACTCAATTGGCCCTATATCAAAATTTGGAGGCAAGGTAAGACTATAAGAAAGTTTTACCCTTGTATCATTCAAGTGAAAAATTTTCTCATTAACAGCTGCTACAATTTTGATATTAAATTGTATAGGAAGACGTATGAAATGGCTTGTCGTCCTAATGTTTACGAAAGTGGATATGAAGAATCGAGATTTAAGACTGTTGTTGATGAAAATTTTTACTGTTCCATTTGTCTGAATGTCATGAAAGATGCCAGAATGTGTAATCAACACAGTTTTGTCGTGAATGTATTGAAGAACATCTACGAGTTAATGCACAAAGATGTCCTCAATGTCAAGATGATTTAACTGTAGCTACGCTTCATCCAGCGCGTGTTATAAATAAAATGATTTCAAAGTTAAAGATCAACTGCGACTACGCCAGTCGTGGTTGTCCTGAATTATAAATGTCGAAGATCTTGAAAGACATGTTGAAAATTGTTTTGCTCCAGTGTTGTGTTCAAATGAACGTTGTGGTCTGGAAATAAACAAACGAGACAAGATTAAACATGAAACTGAATTATGTGAATACAGAAAGATTGCTTCTCGACAGAGATTAGCGAAATGTTTCAACGAAGTTTGAAGACAAAATGGAAATGCAAATGAACAACAAGCAGGAAAATAGACGAAAAATTTTTTTTGAAAGGAAGTAAAGATTCCGTGAAATATTGACATCTCAGTATAAAGAAATGATGGAATCAAGGAGAAATGTTGAACAAAAATTTCTACAGTGACCAAAGAAATGATGGAATCAGGAAAGAAATAAAAGATAACAACAATCTTTCTACAGTGACCAAAGAAATGATGGAATCAAGGAAAAAGAAATAAAAGATGTTCAACAAAATCTTTCTACAGTGACCAAAGAAATGAAAGAAATGAAAACCATGATGTTTCAAATGTTGGAAAAGATGAATATAAATGAACAACATGTTCAAACATTGACATCATCAATTGAAATGGTGATGAACTCTGTGAAAGGTGATATTTTGATTGCTGGAGGTTACTCAGTTGGTTACTCAAAGAGTGTTGAAATATTTTCATGGAAGGAGGAGAAATGGTTTAACATTATCAATGGAAAATGAACACAGGATTTGCTTCATCATTTATTTATAATGATAATTTATTTTTGGAGGAGTGTTCTGCAAGTCAATGGAGACATTGAATATAAAACAGTTTCCTTTGACATGGAAGACATTTCCCACAAAGCTTCCTTATGATGTTGAGGTCATCAAACTGTTGTTTATAAACAACAAATCTACATTGGAGGATACATTTAGGACAGATTTGATCAGTGAAATAAACATTACTGGTACAACATCTCATGTTTTGAAAGAGTTGTGTCATATGCCTGAACCACGTTGGTGCCATGGAGCTGTTGTTGTTGATGATAAAGTTCTTATTTTTGGAGGATGGGGAAAAGGTATGAAAGTTCTGTCTAGTGTTTTGGAATTTGATCCAAGGACTCTTACATTTAAGGTGCCTCCATTACCTCATCCATTGACTGAAATGGCAACAGTTCAATGGAGATCAAGTTGTTCTTCTTGGAGGTGATGATGGAAAAAGATTGAACAGTGTTATCATGTATGACACTAAGACAGGTAAGATTACAGTCTTACCATCCATGTTGGAAAAGAGATCCTGTTGTTGTGCAGTTATAACAGATGATACAATTGTTGTCATGGGAGGTTGGAATGATAAAGGTAATTTCTTAATTCAGTGGAGTGTTTCAAAATGGGATGTAGTTCTTCATGGAAATATCTTCCTTCAATGAACGAGCCACGATACTTGTCCATAGCGAAGTTTTACCTTTTGGACAAAAGTATGTATAAAGTAAGAACGTGCATCAAACGTTATAACTTACTAAAAATTCTTGTAGCTTACACTGGATGATAAATATGTAAAGTTAAATGTGTAAACCTTTAAAGCCTTGTTGAGAAATTATTTCTCCACTGATTCACTTTAATGATATATATACTGTATATTGCAAGTTGTATCATAAAATACTATATACAGCACATGTCTATCACAAACTTTGGTCACCAATTAAGAATTATATATTTACATGTTATTTATATAAATGGCATTTTTCAAATATATTACATGGCTTTGCTCACATCATTATTAAATTATGCTTGAATTTGTTTGGACTATTTCCCATGAAATACAAAAGCAATTTGCTTAGAGACTATTTACATGGAGGTACGGTAACCCCAGCAGAAGGGTTATCCTAGAGCAAGTCACCCTACGTGAATATGTTTTATAAGTAGCGTTCACACATGCGCACTAGGGGCACCTACTAGTGGTAGGTACCCTAATAACACCAACATTCAATCACTTCTTAAGACTACACCAAACTGGATATCAATTTTCGTTAGTACTGCCATTATTATTATACGCAACAAAATTTAAAACGTGACATACTTTATATGCATGGTAAAATTACAAGAATAGGAAAACTGCACCATTAGCTGTTGGTGTACTGTACTTTGACCATCTACGACGTGTATACTAGTACGAAAGCACGTGATAAGTTTCTTGCTATTTACTGGCTAAAATGACATAAATATGACAAATTGTTATTGCACCTTCAGATTGAAAATTTTGCCACCTTTCCAGTTTCCTCTCAGACAACAAAATAACGAGGAAATTTTATGTCTGAGAACTTTGTATTCTTGAGAGGAACGTGACGTCATCAATAATACAGTCGCCATGTTTAGGGTTTGTAACCTGGTTTTTGTACGTCCAAAAAAGTACATTTTGGCTTTCATTTTTTTGTTTTGCGTTTTGGCTGCATTTAATCTTTTTCATTTCAATGGACTGTAATTTTTCTATCATTTAAACCATTATAAGATGGTGGGACAGTCACAATGATTTGTGCTACACAGTGAAATTTAATGTTCCTCGGAAAAAACGATTATAAAGCACAAATATACCAGCAAAATGCCCCTCAGTTTAGCAAGTTAATATTTTAATAATAAACAGTTATTGGATGAGGTTGAGCATGATATCTAGAATTATTCAGACCGAGGTCAATGTCATCTGCCGTCATTGATGGAAGAACTTTGAATCTTTTGGAATCTTTCAGCATGGAAACAATAAGTGAATTAACTTTAACCTCTCTAGAAGCCGGACATTTTCGAAAGTTTGCACACATCTCGTTTGGTGAGTGCTGCTCGTGGGCGCAACGGTTTCTAGAGGGTTAAAAGTGATTCTCGTTTCATCCTTGTTATATTCAAACACCTTGTATCATTTCATGTACTTCATGTTACGCAGTTTATGGTACTTTTTGTGTAGACTTCATGGTTATTTATCGATGAACATAAACGCTGTCATGACTCACGAGGGTTTGTCTGTATTGTTAGTTATTCATATTGAAATTACTGTTTTGCTATAGGAAATATGCGTGCTGGATAAATAGACACGTTGGCAAACGTGAAACGGAATTCATTTTAAAGTAATGACTCTGAAGATGACAACCGCTAAGGTTGTCGATACGTCAGTCAACAACAACAAAACAGTCCTTCTCAGGACTATACCAATCTGGACAATCTACATTTACAAGCATGGAATTCATATTGTTTTGCAAAATGTCACTACTCTCGTAACATTTAGATAATATTTCCAGATCAAGACTGCTCGCTGCATTCTTTCAAGTCAATGTTCGCTGAAATTTTGACGCTCTTTATCAGTGATGAATGGAAGCAAAGCTAAGTTTGAGATCAAATCAAAAGTACGCAAGTATTGAATGATTTCGATTCGTGCTTCTTTATCGTTAACTGGTGCTTTAGTGACCGCAGTTCGACATTTAATAGCGAATATGCAGGAAAAAAGTTCTGTCGTCCAAACGCTTTCTTTATCACTTTATTCGTTGAAGTTACTTGCTCATCTGCATCATATATGGTTAAAGGACACATGCAACATAAAATTCGGATTGTTATTTTTGTACTTTACATGAAGGTATAGCTACAACTAATAGTTCACCAAAGTTTGAGACTCAAAGGATAAATATTTTTGAAGATATGGAGGTTTAAAGTTGATGCTTTACTGATAACGTATTGAAAATGCCCGACGAGCTAGCGACAGCTACCGATGTCGTTGTGACGTAATAGTTGACATTAGCTAAACGCGGTCAATTGCGCGCTTCGTTCAAAATATATTGGTAACTTCTTAACAACACGACAATTTAGCATTGAAAATATGGTTTATTGTGCCGCATTTAATTGTAAAAACGGTTCTTCTAAGAACCACCAAACACAGCAAAAGGTTTCTTTTTTTTCGTTTCCCGAAAACAAGCGCATGCGAGATATTTGGATTGAAAAAATCCGACGCAAAAATTGGAAGCCAACAAAGAGCTCAAAATTGTGCTCGCAACATTTCGAGAGTTCGTGCTTCGTGCAAAATTTTGAAGCGATGCAATCAGTAGGATGGACAGCAGGACGGCTTTGCCTTAAGAAGGATGCTGTACCCACGATTTTGAATACTCTGTGGAACCCACAAGTGTAGCATCTAAAGGAAGCAGCCAACAAATGTTAGAACTGCATTTGAGAAGAGACGAAGGCAAGAGGTGAATATTATAGTTATAGTTAGCAATATTTGTTTACATTTATAAAAACTAAGCTATATAGGCATTACCAAATTGAAGACAATTCTATAATTTTAGATTATTGACGACGTTCTTGCAGAACATGACGATTTCTTGTAGACGACGACCACGATGTGTCGACATCGGCTCGAAATGTTTGTGCGTTTTCCTCAAAGGAAGTTTGTCTAAGATGAATGATGTCAAAATATATGTAGACAGCGAAACACATACAGTGGTAACTAATTCAGACTAATGTCGTTTGATCTTTTCTTTGTTATTTTAACTCATAAAAAATTCCTTAACGTACCTTAGAAGCGCAATGTGAAATGCCAAGCAGCCATAACAATCCGTCCGCAAAAACACGTAAGGTCAAGAACCACTCAAACAAAAGTGCCAAATATGATAAGTAGAGGTATAGACTTTCCATTCCGGCCGTTTTGATTTTGTGAAAAATCCAGCAATACGATAATTTTATGCTAAGGTACGGAGGTTGAGTTCATTTCAACAAAAATCACAGGCGAGGACGAACATTTTGAGGATGGAGCAGCGCTGTATGGTCTGATACAGAAAGCACGTCGACGATGAGCAATAGCAACAATGGATCAGACTCTCAATGTTCAAATGAGTTAAGCGAAAATGAAGAATCCGACAATGACAATGCAACGTTAGTACCAACTATCCAGTCACCTGACTATTCTTTACATTGCTTTTCTCTGTTATATGTTTCTCAGAACGTTACGTTTATCTCTCTGATGATTCTGATGGTAATTTTTATGTTATAGGGAAGATGTTCAAAATGAGAGAAAATACATAGTGTTTGATAGTTGCCTGAGACAGTGAGTCAATGCCCATGTTGTGGTGAAAGTTGTTCCATTGTGACCAAAACGACTGGTAGTATGGTTAACGTACTAGCAAAATGTCATTGTGGTTATGTTCGAGACTGGAATAGCCAACCTCTGCATGGGCAAATGCCTTTGGGTAACGGTCTTTGCTGCCAGCATCTTGTTAGTGGTAGTAGCCCAGCAAAGTTCTTCAATTCCTTCGTCACTCAAGCATACAATTTCTGTCAGAGCACACATATAGCTATATTCAAACAGCGTATTTGATACCCCTGCTGTAATTGTTTGGCATGCAAAAGCATCTTCTAGAATCAATCAGTTTAGGAATATGATACATTATATGTATTAAACTAAGTATAAGATATCTGATCATAGTACTAGTCACATGATCTGGTAAGCACTTCTTATTGTATGCTAATTGATATCTTCTGTTCAGCTATACATGGTTTAGGACAAGCTCATTATGGAACAAATAATTAAATATATGTTGTTTTGTTTCTGCTTCAATAATAAATTAACAAAGAAACATGGAAGAGATGGAAGATGTGATTTCCTGGATATTGTGCCAAGTATGGGTCATATAGCTGCATGGATTTGGAATCTAACAACATTTTAGACACACAACTTGTTCAGGTAACAATTCTTCAACAACTGTACATAAAACATGGTTAGAATACTCACATAATTATGTTAAACAGTCCAATGAAGTGACCAACTCTGGAGCAATGGAACTTGAGGAATTAAAAAGATGTCTGGCAAAGTTTGATGAAAGTGGGATGAAGGTGAAGTCAATGACCACAGACAGACATGCTCAAATCAAATCTTACATGAAAAAACAAAGACCAAAAATCGAGCACTACTTTGATGTATGGCATGTAGCAAAGGGTATAGATTGTAATAACAAACCAACCTTTTACATTTCATCAATAATCAAAATCCAACAGGAATTAAAAAGAACATTTGGGCAGCAAAAAAAGTGGTTGCAAATTGTCAGATTGGGCCCAATCAATTTCCAACCATGTATACTGGTGTGCTGCTTCCAGCAATGGTGATGAAGAACTTGTCAAGGCAAAGTGGTTGTCAGTTCTCAACCATATATGTGACATCCATGAGGGACATAGTGATGTATTCCCAAAATGTGAATATGATATGTTAGAGCCTAGAATGTGGATAAAAAAAGGTATTGTAAGCGAATAAATTTCAAAGTAACATCAACATTCTTTTTTTTTGTTAACTAACTTCTGATCTTAGGTTCAAAAGCTTATGTTGAGCTGTCTTCGATTGTTGAGTCCAAGTATCTCATGACAGATAATGGAAAACTCAGTTATCAAAAGCAGACTTCATCCATCAAAGGTTTCCACCGGTGGTAATTCTTTTGCACCAAAACATACTTAATTTTTCTACAGATCAATGTAAGCAAGGTAATATAAAAATGATTTGTGTATGATTACTTAAAAAAAGTCATCATTGCAAAAGCAATAAGTTGCAATAGTTGTAAACATAAACTTAACATTCATTTGTAGATTGTTTATTGCTGCTCTTCATTTCAATGAGAATGGAAACAAAGCTCATAAAATGAATGAATGATGGAAACAGAAGAGGAATTGATTTGGAGAGTGGCTTATTCAAATTCAAAAGAAGGCAGGGATATCAAACCAGTGAAAATTGACAGCTTATGGTTAGCACAGAAAAATAAACACTTTTCTCAAAGTGCAATGCAAAGCCAACATAAATAATGATTTGCTTTTCAGGATATGTTAAGGACTTGATGAAAGAAGTTTTGTTACTGCAGACGCATTAATCCAACACTGAAACTCTTGATGTCTTTGGAGTGAAAGAAATACCTGTCCATTGACTTGCCTAAATCAAAAATCAGCAAAGCTGAAGCCATTAAGCAACATAAATGTCGCTTCTATATAAAAAAGATAATAGAAATAGCGTTCCACATGAAATAAACATAATTACAAATGAACAGACTTTGTCATACGCCATAAGCTACCATTCAGTAGTGTTGAGCATATTCAAATCCTTTGTATTCTCAGAAAGCGAAGGAAAATGCTTTCCGGATTTGTCTGCTTTGAAGTACTGGGTAGTCTGTACTTTCTTCCCAATAACTTGCCATGCACAAGCCGTCCACTGTCGGTACAACGTGTAGCGTTATGTTTCATATTTGTTAAATAAAACAAATAACTAGCAAACTACCTTAATAGCAAACTACCGAAAGTTGTGCTAGTCGAAAACGATATAAGAAAAATGCTTGTTTATGTCAACTATTACGTCACTCATTCCCAGTTCCCAGACTTTAACAATCTCGGCGTTTTAGCAATGGTCATCGAATATCGTGTTTTTATCGATTATAATCCTAAATATCTTTTGAAAATTTTTACGGACGACTTTGAAACTTGGTACGTTTTATTTTCACGCCGTAGGCATTACAATAAAATAAAGTTGTCTTCTATCTTGCATGTGTCCTTTAATGTAGAATATTTCAGAATGTTTTCCTCAAAAGCAAAAGTTGTAATATAATTTTTATTGTCTTTAGCTGTTATATAAGAATATACGGAGAAATTGCGATGACTCAGAACTTTTGTTTTTTACTACTGTAACGTCATCAAACACGACATGCGCAGAACGCGTTGTAAATGTAAAATATGGGATAGCCCCATTGAGTCTAATAGAACTCAATTGATAGCCCTATATCAAAATTTTGTCTTTTGAGGCAAGGTAAGACTATAAGAAAGTTTTACCCTTGTATCATTCAAGTGAAAAATTTTCTCATTAACAGCTGTACTACAATTTTGATATTAAATTGTATAGGAAGACGTATGAAATGGCTTGTCGTCCTAATGTTTACGAAAGTGGATATGAAGAATCGAGATTTAAGACTGTTGTTGATGAAAATTTTTACTGTTCAATTTGTCTGAATGTCATGAAAGATGCCAGAATGTGCCATAATCAACACAGTTTTTGTCGTGAATGTATTGAAGAACATCTACGAGTTAATGCACAAAGATGTCCTCAATGTCAAGATGATTTAACTGTAGCTACGCTTCATCCAGCGCGTGTTATAAATAATATGATTTCAAAGTTAAAGATCAACTGCGACTACGCCAGTCGTGGTTGTCCTGAATTATAAATGTCGAAGATCTTGAAAGACATGTTGAAAATTGTGGCTTTGCTCCAGTGTTGTGTTCTAATGAACGTTGTGGTCTGGAAATAAACAAACGAGACAAGATTAAACATGAAACTGAATTATGTGAATACAGAAAGATTGCTTCTCACGACTTTCGAGAGATTAGCGAAATGTTTCAACGAAGTTTTGAAGACAAAATGGAAATGCAAATGAACAACAAGCAGGAAAATAGACGAAAAATTTTTTGAAGTAAAAGATTCCGTGAAACCATTGACATCTCAGTATAAAGAAATGATGGAATCTGTAGTAGAAAATGTTGAACAAAATCTTTCTACAGTGACCAAAGAAATGATGGAATCAAGGAAAGAAATAAAAGATGTTCAACAAAATCTTTCTACAGTGACCAAAGAAATGAAAGAAATGAAACCATGATGTTTCAAATGTTGGAAAAGATGAATATAAATGAACAACATGTTCAAACATTGACATCATCAATTGAAATGGTGATGAACTCTGTAAAATGTGATATTTTGATTGCTGGAGGTTACTCAGTGGTTCCTCAAAGAGTGTTGAAATATTTTCATGGAAGGAGGAAAAGTGGTTTAAGATTGCATCAATGGAAAATGAACACAATAATGCTTCATCATTTATTTATAATGATAATTTATTTTTTGTTGCAGGATATCGCTGCAAGTCAATGGAGACATTGAATATAAAACAGTTTCCTTTGACATGGAAGACATTTCCCACAAAGCTCCCTTATGAATGTTGGTATCATCAAACTGTTGTTTATAAACAACAAATCTTTCACATTGGAGGATACATTAGTGGTAAAGGAAGATCAGATTTGATCAGTGAAATAAAAATTACTGGTACAACATCTTATGTTTTGAAAGAGTTGTGTCATATGCCTGAACCACGGGATGGCCATGTAGCTGTTGTTGTTGATGATAAAGTTCTTATTTTGGAGGATGGGGAAAAGATGGAAAGTTTTGTCCAGTGTTTTGGAATTTGATCCAAGGACTCTTACATTTAAGAAATGCCTCCATTACCTCATCCATTGGTTGGAATGGCAACAGTTCAATGGAGAGATCAAGTTGTTCTTCTTGGAGGTTGATGATGGAAGAAAAGGTTGAACAGTGTTATCATGTATGAAACTAAGACAGGTAAGATTACAGTCTTACCATCCATGTTGGAAAAGAGATAGGCGTGTTGTGCAGTTATAACAGATGATACAATTGTTGTCATGGGAGGTTCGAATGATAAAGGTATTTATCTTAATTCAGTGGAGTGTTTCAAAATGGGATGTAGTTCTTCATGGAAATATCTTCCTTCAATGAACGAACCACGATACTTGTCCATAGCTGAAGTTTTACCTTTTGGACAAAAGTATGTATAAGTAAGAAAACGTGCATCAAACGTTATAACTTACTAAAAATTCTTGTAGCTTACACTGGATGATAAATATGTAAAGTTAAATGTGTAAACCTTTAAAGCCTGTTGAGAAATTATTTCTCCACTGATTCACTTTAATGATATATATACTGTATATTGCAAGTTGTATCATAAAATACTATATACAGCACACGTCTATCACAAACTTTGGTCACCGATTAAGAATTATATATTTACATGTTATTTATTATTTTTCAAATATATTACTTAGCTTTGCTTACATCGTTATTAAATTATGCGTTGAATTTGTTTGGACTATTTCCCATGAAATATACAAAAGCAATTTGCTTAGAGACTATTTACATGGAGGTACGGTAACCCCAGCAGAAGGGTTATCCTAGAAAGCGAGTCACCCTACGTGAATATGTTTTATAAGTAGCGTTCACACATACTAGCACACTAGTGGTAGTTTACCTAATAACACCAACATTCAATCACTTCTTAAGACTACACCAAAGTGGTAGGTTTACCCTAATAACACCAACATTCAATCACTTCTTAAGCTACACCAAACTGATATCAATTTTCGTTAGTACTGCCATTATTATATACGCAGCAAAATTAAAACGTGACATACTTTATATGTATGGTAAAATTACAAGAATGGGGAAACTGCACCATTAGCTGTTGGTGTACTGTGCTTTGACCACCTACAACGAGTATACTCGTACGAAAGCACATGATAAGTTTCTTGCTATTTACTGGCTAAAATGAGATATGACAAATTGTTAATGCAACTTCAGATTGAAAATTTTGCCACCTTTCCAGTTTCCGCTTAGACAATAAAATAAGGAAGACATTTTATGTTTGGCAACTTTGTATTCTTGATATGAACGTGACGTCATCAATAATACAGTCGCCATGTTTAGGGTTTGTAACCTGGTTTTTGTACGTCCAAAAAAGTACATTTTGGCTTTCATTATTTTGTTTTGCGTTTTGGCTACATTTGATATTTTTCATTTCAATGGACTGTAATTTTTCTGTCATTTAAACCATTATAAGATAGTGGGACAGTCACAGTGATTTGTGCTACACAGTGAAATTTAATATTCCTCGGACGAAAAGATTATAACACACAAATATACCAGCAAAATGTCCCTCAGTTTAGCAAGTTAATATTTTAATAATTAAAACATGATATCTAGAATTATTAGACCGAGGTCAATGTCATCTGCCGAAGCAAAGCTGGGACGGATAACGTTGACAGAGGTATGAATAATTGTTGATATCATGCGAAAAACGAATTGAATAATTGTTTTATCATTCACCTCAACAAACTGAAATATTATTTACACTCATCAATGTAAAACATTTCGAAACCTGCCCTTAGTTGTAATTGTCAAACGGTTTTTTCGAGTTCTTCTTGTTTAAATATGCTGTAAATATGTTCGAAACCAGCTTCGTCGCTTTTTTAGTGTTTTCTGCATCAATTTTGTTCGAAATCTTTCGCTTATTGTTTTTAGAAACTGTGGTAAACATCACTTTATTTGATTTTTTTCAAATTCGGCTTTTAATGGCGTCAGTCAATAATGGTAGAAAAAATTTTTCGTAGTAATGACGTCATATCTACAGATATCTAGAATTAGAACACAGCCAAAGTCACTCGGCCAATCAGCGTCCAGTATTTTGATGTTCCATATGGCATAGTGGCTAAAGTTCAAGAAGTGATGTAAGCTTTAAAGCTCAAGGAAAATGCGGAGATAGAGTGAAAACAATGGAATACAATTAAAGCTTAATGGTATTCACTAAATCTCATTTTTAATCGATATATAAAGAATACTAACAAGATATTGTTTTTTTATTGTTCACTTCTTTATTAGTATCCTCTAAATAGAAAACATTAATGAGGTTAAAGGATACTAATGACTGTCGTAACTCCACATTACATTTCATCTCTGAATAACTAACAAGGTGATGAAATTTAACGCGTTTCTAACGAATCTCGATGATGTAAATATATTCATGTTAAAATTAAAATATCTCTTACGAAAAAATTGGAAAAACTAATAATTGCTCTCAAAGTTAAAAGCAAACACATGTATTACATAAAATGAAACAACATACGTGTTTTCCCATGTTCAATAACTTTTAAATTACGTCGTGTATTTGTCGTACCAACACATGCTTCTTTCTTCTTATCTACCTCAATTTTCTTTGGACTTGAAACATCCACTGGAGCAGGTTGTTGAAGTGCTTTTAAAACTGACATAACCAGAGTAGAACTTGGCCTTTTGCATCATCTAACAATGATGTGCTTCGATAATCAGTCCGAGACATTATTGTTTGTTCATCAATGAAAATGTTCCTTTCTTAGAGGGTTGTTGGGCACGTAACCTTTCCAAAATCATTTGAAAATCCTCAACCTTTCATGTCAATGTAATCTACCTCGCACATTGCTGGTAAATATTTATAGAACGTGTTAAAATTAACAGGTTGTGAGTTATACCAATCCAATGTCCCCCTGGCTTATAACTTTCGAGAGGTTTTGAACTAAAACCTGCCTTTACATGGAACACATCTCAAATACTCGTTGAAAACAATCATCAGCTGTAAACTAAAGATACTTGTATAAGAATACAGCATCTTAAATTCAGTACCATAAGTAATCCCTTCTGGCTTTGGCCATGCATTGTTCTAAGACGGTGCCCGAGTAAGTAAATTTTATCTAATGCGAGGGTCTCTCAATCCCATAGAGCACACATGATCGTGCTCTACCCTTACTAATTTGCAGGTAGTTGACCAAATCACTAGCAGTTAGTCATCTAAAATATTTCAAAATTCAAATTTCATGTAGGTTGGTATGAAGAAATGTCTAGTACTTATATGCTCCAATGATTAGGTACGGTGTCTAAAATTTTAGAATTCCCGTGTGTATGAGAGTCTTTGTACTTCTGTCATACAACGGCGGTCTTTCATCAAACATTATAAAATAAACACAATGAAACACGTGTGCTGATTGGTCTAGAGCTGTGTTTGCATTAGCCTGTGCAAAACACGTCTAAGCTCTACCAATCAAATCAATCATAACAATCAACCAGTCAATGAGAATTTGCAAATAGATCATGAATACATTTTAGAGGAAAAATTAAAATGTTCGTCTGTTTCGCAATATTGTTATTTTATAAAGAAATAAAAGATATTTTCCGTGTTTACACTGACTTGTGCAAACCTAGAAGACGTTTGTAAGAACTCTCGAGCATGTGCAACTCTCGATCTTCGGTCTCGGGCTTGCACTGATCTGCTCTCAAGTTCTCCCAAACGAATCTTCGGTTTGCATAAGCCTGTGCAAGCACAGTAAACATCTTTATTTCTTAAATAAAACACAATTCATACTAGGAATCAAAAGGTAGCCACTAAAATGAAATCACTAACCTTACCACCTGTTAATACTATGATGCCCTTCGGAGCATTGTTGTCCAAGGCGCAACATCATTGGTCAGCGGTGATCCAGTCATGGGTATCACTCTAAGTAGGAACGGATAATGAAAATGAGTAATGTGGATAAAGGACGTGGTGAGGGTGATTGGGGGATTACGGTAATGATGGTTTGGGATAAAAAATGATGGTGAGGGTTAATGTGTGATAAAGATAATGGTGGTGAGGGTGATTGTGGCTATGTGTTTTGGATAAGAACAAGACTTTACGTAACATGAATGACAAACCTCTCCCCAGGTTTTGGAGCTCTCATACTTTTAACACGAACAATTCACGGGCGAAGTTTTGTAAAGTTTCATAGCAAAATAACGACACAGATTGTAGTAGAAGTTTTGCTGGCTCATATTTCAAAATCTATAAATAAAACTTTCTATTTGATCCATACATACGTTCTCTGATATTACGATATTTACATAAAGTATGAAGAAGAATTTTTGCAATTGGGATATCAAGAACAAGTATGCGCGGGTTATGGGGTGACTGGGAGCAGGCTTTACTAATTTAATTATTGACTTAATATCTTCAACTACTTCATAATCTTTATAGTGTACTTTTAGCTAAAAACGCAACTATGACAACAGATCGTTATTTAGATTTCTGTATTTTAACCATTACTTGAAGATAGCTGTTTGCTATGGTGTCTTTCCTGTGTGATAACTTAATAAAAGATAATGAACACAGTTTTACTCTTGCTTTTGAGGCATGGTAAACCACAACTGACAATTATCCTACCTGAGCTATTGATTTTACAAGAGAGATTTGACAAAGGCAATCTAAAAGTAAAAATAAAACTCTGTGTTTTATAAAAAAAAACAACACTTCTTAAAATCACAAACATCTTCAGCGGATGATTGGTTACTTCATCCATAACAACACTTAATGTATCGACTTAATTCTTTTGCATTATTTGTAGACAAAACCATGTAAAATTTTTTTAGGTCAAAGCAGACGTAATCTTGATGATATACACCTCAGTTTAGGGTGTACTCCAAAATTTCTTCGTGGGTACAAAATACGGTTTTGAAAATAATAACAACATGGTAGGTTTGAATTAAATCAACAGCTGATTTCAAATTTTATGAATATTTTTATCCTTAATAATTACATGAACAGTCAATGATAATACACAATTTTGTTCACAAATTTACCTTTGAGTAGAAAATCTGCTATATAATCGTTCAATTTATTTTCTTGCTCATCAATCGACATGGATGTATTTAATACCGTAATAGGGCAAAATGTGCAGTTTAATTCCTTTGATTCTGCCTGCCAACCTTATTTGGGACTTCTCGCTTTCTATCGGTGCCATTCACCTTCACTGCAACTCTATATATCTGTATATCTTTAACTTAGGCAGAAAATTTTGCTCCGATATTCAAAATTTGAAGTGAAGTAACAAATATTTCAAAAACATTGCTCGCTTAAATTCTCAAATTTAGCGCGGTCATAATCAAGTCGTTTTCATAATGGTTTCCATCCATCAAAACTACATTTATATCACAGTATACGGGAGAAAGACTAGGACCTGATCAATTTGGCTGCATACCATGTGTACACATCGGTAGCAAAATATCCAAAATTTTTATAAAATGTTACTTCGAAGAATTTACAGTTGCTGCATGGTGAAGATTTAAAATTAAATGGATTCATAGTGTTGAATCTTGTATCATTTTGTTCGTCTAGTGGAATCAATTCTAATGTCTTTAAATGACATCGACTTTGTCAAATCCGAATTTGTGATTTGAATTAACTATACTGCAAATATGGAATTGCTATCAGCAATTGCTATCATTTCCCTGTAATGAATCTTTTAATAAAAAGTGGAACTCGTATAGGTAGGGGATAACCTTAGCAGTTTATTTGAAAAATCTTTCATTTAAGATAACGGACTTAGTTCATTCAAGTTAGCAAAAACTAAAACTGAAAAATTTGCATATTTCATAATAAATATGACGTTTACACAGCAGTTTCATTTTGCATACCACAAACATGCAGCTAGAAGCACAAAGTTTATCAATTGACAATTGAGTTTACTAATGACTTTATTATTGTCACACACATACATAAATGCTAATCAACTACATATTCATAGTTACTGCTAGTTTTACGCAAAATGCCATAAGGATTTTGCGACGTACTTAAAGTAAGTTTACAAAATACATCTCGTGTTTATACATGAAACTAAGCTTTCATTTCTTCACAGAAACATTATATTGTCCATTTATATTTATGATACTAGAAACTACATTAGCTGTTAATAAATGAGTGGGTGTTGGCAATGAACGTTTTACATTAGATGAAAAGAAAAACACAGAGTATGATAAAACAGAAAGCGAAATGAAAATTTGGCCTGTTACTGATGTTGTGTTCGTCATGGAAACATGACCTTTCTTTATTACATAATCTATTCCCCGAGCAAATAGTACCAAACTTAACAAATTTGAAGTCTGTTCCGGAACAGTAGTATGACTGATTTCCAAAACTAATTGTGGCTTTTCTATATGAGCAAAACGTATATCCAGCAGGTACGACAAAGTACCATTTCTCTTGGTACTCATAAGTGTGTACGATTTTTTGTGTCCTTGATGCAGAAAAAGATATTTTGAATTTTGCTACGATTTTCAGGGTCAATCCGACAGATACCTGAGATACTTTAGTTGTTTTTTTGTTAATTGTTAGTTCATAACTGCAAGGATGACTTTTTCCTTCTATCCCAGGACACGCATAGGAAAAACTTTCGTCGTAACAAACACTTTTACCAGCTGTAACACTGAATTTTTTAGACTTAACCTGGGGACAATCTTCAATGAATATTTCTACGTCTTCATTTTTTCGATAATACACTCGTGCTTTATTTGCCGGTTTGTCCAAAACCACTTCTCTTCTCGAGCTTCCACAATACCAAGAGAAATTTTGTCCACTAGTCTCGAATTTAACATCGAGTTCGCCCTTAAGAACAATTTGATTTTTGACAAATATAAAATCAGGATTTTGACACTTTTCTTTAAATGATGTAATATTTTTGCATGTCTGAGCAGAAAGTGCACTGCTTTCATGAAGAAAAGAAGCTACCAATAATAATGTCCAAGCTCCTGATACAATTCTGCCCATTTTGTTTTATCTACGCCAATAATCAGGAAAATATGATTTCTTTTGCTGTTATGTTCCTTTTTATTTATGATGCATGGAATTATGGGAATGAAGAAGACTATTGTCTCAAATAATAGATACGTAATTAAGAATGAAAGAAATCAAGAAAAATATACTCTGTTCCGAATTGTTACAGAACACCAAACTCCCGTTGTTACAACAAATATTTATTAAACAAAAGACATTGTACAAAAAATACGCTCTTCACTTTTTGCACCTCGGGGCTCAATTCATGCCTTGTTTTATCCCTGTTTCCCGAGCTTATGCATATAGCCTGCAATCAGGCATAACTTTATCAACACAACACTACAGAATAGGTAGAAAAAGCCAAAGAATAAAATTCATGACTTACCACGCCAAGTGTAAAATTAGTTGAAGAAATAGAAGGATCTATTTGATTAATTAAGTTTGTATGTATAGGAGAATGGATACGCATCTAGAAAAAAGATGGAGAAGAAGATATTGCTGTAATGCACATAAAAAACATTAAAATTATTAATCAGTTGTAATAAGGTAAGATGTTGTAATAAAAAACAGCGATATTGGAAACAGAGTTATAGTCAAATAAACAAAATAATACGAGAAGGTATGGACAACCGATTGTACGTCCGAGATTAAAATTCGCATTTTCTCTACAATAGCAAAATAGACGTCTGATAGACGTCTTGCAACTAAATGAACTGCTTGAATGCTAACTAAAAACGCTTCTTAAGTCAAATCCTCTACTGAAACTTTTGCTAAACATTCACCTTATCTTCAGCTTTATAAAATACTTTACAAGGTGAACCAAAACACGTCATGACATCCTGAAATGGAAAATTTTGTACAAAATATTCTTTTTCAGTAGCTATAAAAGTTTAGACCCCAGTCTTCCTGGTTCCACTTGCAATAATAGTGTTTTTCAAAGAAAACAGACAAAGAGAACTTTAAAAATGTCTATTATAAAATGAAGGGATCTTTCACGGGTGGCAGAAGAGGAGGGCGATAACGAATAAAATATATATATAAAGTAAATGGTTTGAACCCGGAGTATCGTTACATGTTTGTAAACGTCGATCGTCCAGGTTGGTATATTCCTGAGAAGGACTGTTTTTGTTGTTGTTGACTGACGTTTCGACAACCTTTGCGGTAGTCATTTTCAGAGTCAAAATGGCTCTGAAGATGACTACCGCTAAGGTTGTCAAAATTACTCTGAAGATGACTACCGCTAAGATTGTCGAAACGTCAGTCAACAACAACAAAAACAGTCCTTTTCAGGACTATACTAACCTGGACGATCGACATTTGCAAACATGTAAAAATATATATATATCTCGTTATCTTTGTCGTTCCAGGTTGTGGTGGCCTATTCTAGCACACTCCCCAAAAACACGTCAGTTCAGTATATTTATTTACCTACCTACAACAGATCTATACTATTGGAATAAAAGAAGAAACATTTGTTGCAAAATCATTAAGTCTACGTACCTGACACGTGTCTCCAAATTAAACCGTTCTTTCAACAACTTTTTTATTCAGGTCTGGTAATGTACCGAAGCTGTTTCCTGAAGGAAGAAATTTTTAACGTATAGAAATGGGAAAAGGTGATGAAAAATGTTTAAATGAAAAGTACTGAAATATATTCACTGAACAACGTGATGGAAATTAAATAATGACTATGTAAGAGCGAGGTGATATTGAGTAAAGGAGGTGAGGTAATGAGCAACGTTGAGTGAAGGGGTGGACAATGTTGAGTAAAGGAGATGAGGTAATGAGCAACGTTGTGTGAAGGGGTGGACAATGTTGAGTAAAGGAGATGAGGTAATGAGCAACGTTGGTGAAGAGGTGGGACAATGTTGAGTAAAGGGGATGAGGTAATGAGCAACGTTGAGTGAAAGGATGGGACAATGTTGAGTAAAGAGGGTGAGATCATACTGAGTGTTAGCGTCATCCATACCTTCTGAACAAGTTTAAACAGAAGACCTGTTACTTTTCCTGATTCCCTCAAAACTTGAACAGATTCTGCATAGCAGTTACCATAGAAACATTGAATCGCATTGGAGGGGCTCTATATAAACAAAGAACATTGAACTGTTTATGGTGTGTGATGATAAGTTTGATGTGGACAGGTATCACAAAAATATAAAAACACCAACGCAAACATCAGGGATGAATTTAAACAAGAAAGTTAATGTTGTCTCACATAGAACTTTCTTACCTATATCAATTGTTGGACACATCAATAATGCTGGAAAGTTGCCATGGAAACACTTCTTTATCACCCCCCCCCCTCCCCTCGGGAAACACAACCTGCATGCAAATTGCAAAATCCATTGACCCAACAAAGGAAATATTTATACAGATTAATCATGACAGGTGATAACATTTGCCAAAGGAAGTAATCAGATTGTGTTCTCCAGCTGAAGATTTATAAAGATAAAATATTAGAACTTAAATAGATCATTATGTCAAAGACTATTATGGTTTTTCATATTCACCTTGTATCTTTTCTACCCAATTCTAAAATAAAGTTAGCCAGGGAGGGTTATGTTATAAGTTGAGTTTACTAAGTATTTGAAAACAGCAATTTCAATGACTATTGGATTTCAGGAAACATCAAACATTGTATACTTATTGCGTTACATTGTTTAGTTTAGCTTTGTATTCTATTACCATTAAGGAATTGTTCACCTTTATATTTTGTTCTTCATTTCAAGTGCATGTTGTAGCACCATACAGAAATGGTTCACCATTATATTTTGTTCTTCATTTCACATGGCTCAAGTGCATGTTGTAGCACCATACAGGAATGGTTCACCATTATATTTTGTTCTTCATTTCACATGGCTCAAGTGCATGTTGTAGCACCATACAGGAATGGTTCACCATTATATTTTGTTCTTCATTTAGCATGGCTCATGTGCATGTTGTAGCACCATACAGGAATGGTTCACCATTATATTTTGTTCTTCATTTTACATGGCTCAAGTGCATGTTGTAGCACCATACAGGAATGGTTCGCTATTAATTTTGGTGCTTTCACTCTGCTCATGTGCATATTCAACCATCATATAAGAATGGTTTACCATTATTTGTTTGTTCTTCCATCACTTGGAGTGTTTGATTGACTTAATAATAAATGATTTTCCTTCAGTTGGTACAAAAACCTTCATTAGGCTTTGCTGTTGGTCATGCTTTCTTTACCAAATGAAATACATCATCTAACCCAATATTGTTAGATTTCATAAGGTAAGCAATGACAACAGTCGAAGACCTGGACACTCCTGCTTTGCTGGACATTTAAAGGAAAATCATTTCATTGGCTACAAAATTTTTGCTGCATAAGCAACAATTTTTAGTTTAATGGCCATCATCTTTAAGTTACGTATGCCTCAAATGTGAAACACAGCCTTCAATTAACATTTCAACAAGTTAACAGTGAACATGCTGATTCAGCATTTGGTTTTTTGTAATCAAATTAATATCCTCCATAAGAACATAAATTGTGTTGACAAGCCTGTAGCAAAACCTACATGTTTGTATGTGTTGATCATTCAGGTTAATTCAGTTGATGTTGACTGATGTTTCACATCCTCAGATGTAGTCATATTTCAAGCCAAGTTCAAAGTAAATAATTATTGCTAAGTATGTTAAAACATCAACATGTACTAATAAAAATATTCAAAGTTTAATTCATTCAAATGAAAACCTAAAAACTTACCATAATAACCTTCACAATACACACATTTAGAATATCAATGGCCATCGCCATTTTACACTTACCAATGAACCAAAACCTTTCCATCCTCCAGTCCTTTTCAATGAATGAGGACAGCTCAGCAAAATTCTGATCTATTCTTGTGTCAGGTAAATCCAAAATTTCTACCATTTTGTACTGAAACCCTGAGAGAAAATCAAAATATGACATAAACACAAGAGCCTAGACTAAAATTTGAAATCCAGCATCTAAGTTATACTCACATTTGGAAATTGATTTACAATTCCTGTGGCAACATTAACAATATGAGTAATTTTTTGCAGCCTTAAATGTTCAAGATTACAAGCTCCACCTTGTGAAGAAATGTACAAGTTGTCTGCTACATGATATATCTTGTCGTCAATACTTGTATCTATGCAATAACCATCAACTTTACCAATTACTACACAGACTTTGTCCCCACAAGTCAAGTTGCTTGTTAAAACCTGAACAAAGAAGCGAAAAGGTTTAAATCTACTTTTATTAATCAAACACACTACCAAGTACATTCATACAAATTAAAAACTAATACCTTTGTGCCATCAGTATGAGTTAAACAGTCGAGAAGTGCTTCAGTTGCTGTCTTTTAACAAATATTTCATCAGCAAAACTCATTCTCACTCCCCAGTAATAGAAAATTTGACCCTTATGACAATTTTATCCGCACATTTGATGAATATTTTAAGGATAAAGTACGAATATACAATGTATAATAATTAATGTGAGGAAATCGTCTGTATCCGTTCTCTTCTGAATTAAAGATGGTATGTAGTATGTAACTATATGAGTTTGTAATTATGCATGTTTACGTGAGCATGTTCATTGTTTGAGAGTTATAACACGTAGAAATGACATCGGTGTACCAAATTTGTTTCAATGAAATGAAGATATATCGAGGTTTCAGTAAATTAACCTAGGTCGAGGAATAGGGTAGTAATTCGCAACCAGAAAGTTTAAAGGAAGGGGGGGAGGTGCACATTAAAGAAAAACAAACTCGCACTGTTGATATTATAGGCAATTGAACAAACGTTAACATTTTGTACAACACAGAAAGCACAAATATAGAGCCTACCTACCTTAACTTTGCCAATGCAGGTAACTGAGACATCGAAGTACAAAGAAACAAACACGTGATTCAGTGACAGTTAATAACATGGAGACCTTATGGATGTATGGGCACATGGAGGTGTAGTGCACTGGGGTGGCTACGGCCTCTAGTTCCTGCCACTGACCTGTAATTCAATATGAACCCATTAGTTACGGCCTAAACTATTTTAAAGATTCACTACTTGTGGTCTGGGACAAAGGAAGAAACTTGCAGACAAGAAAGTCTAATAAGTGGCCAACTGCAGGCTAACTGCGAAAAGGAATCTCTCATCACCTAAGGTATTCTTAACATGGTCATTTTTCCCACTCTTGCAACCTTTTGTCAGTTCCATTTAGCATTTTGAATGTTATCAATAATTTGTTTGTTAAAACATAGTAACAAAAGATGTCTAAACTTTTAATTTGCAAATCGGATTCAACAGTCTTTGTGAAATATGTTTTACTTGTGTCCTGAAACATGTTTCCTTGTGTTATAAATATATGATCATCGTATCTAAAATGATTAGAAATATTGACAGTCAAATAAACAAATGCAATGAACTTAGGGTGCCACCCAAACCGAATGAGTTTCAAATTTCAACCAGTGATTCAGACTAAACAAATGTAGTTTTGAACTGAAAACGTAACAATCGTCTTGGATTAACGTTAATTCTGCATTATAAGAAAAGACGTAATTTTACTACAACAAATAACCTTTAATTAGGATGTTTTTCACCGAGAACGAACTGCCTTATGTGATTGACTAAAGCTCCACTTCTTTGACCTTAGAAACTTTGACCTCAGTTGTGTTTTTGTTGATGTGCTTCATTGCATTATTTTGTTTTATCTTTTGTCTTTGTTTTGCTTAACATAAATATGTTAAAATATAAAACTAGGCGTTGTTTTGCTTTGCTTTCAGCTTCCGTGTTTATCAAACGTCGACTGAAAATTTTAACCTATCTTTTAGCTTGAACTTTTAGTGATAAACAAAATTTCGTCAACTCCTGGATTAATTTTGGCATTAAATTGTATAGGAAGACGTATGAAATGGCTTGTCGTCCTAATGTTTACGAAAGTGGATATGAAGAATCGAGATTTAAGACTGTTGTTGATGAAAACTTTTACTGTTCAATTTGTCTGAATGTCATGAAAGATGCCAGAATGTGCCATAATCAACACAGTTTTTGTCGTGAATGTATTGAAGAACATCTACGAGTTAATGCACAAAGATGTCCTCAATGTCAAGATGATTTAAGTGTACGCTTCATCCAGCGCGTGTTATAAATAACGTGATTTCAAAGTTAAAGATCAACTGCGACTACGCCAGTCGTGGTTGTCCTGAATTTATAAATGTCGAAGATCTTGAAAGACATGTTGAAAATTGTGGCTTTGCTCCAGTGTTGTGTTCTAATGAACGTTGTGGTCTGGAAATAAACAAACGAGACAAGATTAAACATGAAACTGAATTATGTGAATACAGAAAGATTGCTTCTCACGACTTTCGAGAGATTAGCGAAATGTTTCAACGAAGTTTTGAAGACAAAATGGAAATACAAATGCAAATGAACAACTTAAGCAGGAAAATAGACGAAAATTTTTTTTGTAAAAGAATCAGTGAAACCATTGACATCTCAGTATAAGAAATGATGGAATCTGTAGTAGAAAATGTTCAACAAAATCTTTCTACAGTGACCAAAGAAATGATGGAATCAAGGAAAGAAATAAAAGATGTTCAACAAAATCTTTCTGTGACCAAAGAAATGATGGAATCAAGGAAAGAAAGAAAAGATGTTCAACAAAAATCTTTCAGTGACCAAAGAAATGATGGAATCAAGGAAAGAAAAAAGATGTTCAACAAAATCTTTCTACAGTGACCAAAGAAATGATGGAATCAAGGAAAGAAATAAAAGATGTTCAACAAAATCTTTCTACTGTGACCAAAGAAATGAAAGAAATAAAAACCATGATGTTTCAAATGTTGGAAAAGATGAATATAAATGAAAAACATGTTCAAACATTGACATCACCAATTGAAATGGTGATGAACTCTGTAAAAGGTGATATTTTGGTTGCTGGAGGTTACTCAGGTGTTTCCTTAAAGAGTGTTGAAATATTTTCATGGAAGGAGGAGAAATGGTTTAAGATTGTATCAATGGAAAATAAACACTGGTGTGCTTCATCATTTATTTATAATGATAATTTATTTGTTGTTGGAGGATTGGGCTGCAAGTCAATGGAGACATTGAATATAAAACAGTTTCCTTTAACATGGAAGACATTTCCCACAAAGCTTCCTTATGAATGTTGTGGTCATCAAACTGTTGTTTATAAACAACAAATCTTTCACATTGGAGGATACATTGAAGGTAAAGGAACATCAGATTTCATCAGTGAAATAAAGATTACTGATACAACATCTCATGTTTTGAAAGAGTTGTGTCATATGCCTGAACCACGTTGTTACCATGTAGCTGTTGTTGTTGATGATAAAGTTCTTATTTTTGGAGGAAGGGAAAAGATAAGAAAGATTTGTCCAGTGTTTTGGAATTTGATCCAACTCTTACATTTAAGGAAATGCCTCCATTACCTCATCCATTTGTGCAATGGCAACAGTTCAATGGAGAGATCAAGTTGTTCTTCTTGGAGGTTATGATGGAAAAGAAAGGTTGAACAGTGTTATCATGTATGAAACTAAGACAGGTAAGATTACAGTCTTACCATCCATGTTGGAAAAGAGATCCTGTTGTTGTGCAGTTATAACAGATGATACAATTGTTGTCATGGGAGGTGAGAATGATAAACGTGAAGATCTTAATTCAGTGGAGTGTTTCAAAATGGGATGTAGTTCTTCATGGAAATATCTTCCTTCAATGAACGAGCTACGACTTGGGTCCATAGCCGAAGTTTTACCTTTTGGACAAAAGTATGTATAAGTAAGAAAACGTGCATCAAACGTTATAACTTACTAAAAATTCTTGTAGCTTACACTGGATGATAAATATGTAAAGTTAAATGTGTAAACCTTTAAAGCCTGTTGAGAAATTATTTCTCCACTGATTCACTTTAATGATATATATACTGTATATTGCAAGTTGTATCATAAAATACTATATACAGCACATGTCTATCACAAACTTTGGTCACCAATTAAGAATTATATATTTACATGTTATTTATATAAATGGCATTTTTCAAATATATTACATGGCTTTGCTCACATCATTATTAAATTATGCGTTGAATTTGTTTGACTATTTCCCATGAAATATACAAAAGCAATTTGCTTAGAGACTATTTACATGGAGGTACGGTAACCCCAGCAGAAGGGTTATCCTAGAAAGCGAGTCACCCTACGTGAATATGTTTTATAAGTAGCGTTCACACATGCGCACTAGGGGCACCTACTAGTGGTAGGTTTACCTAATAACACCAACATTCAATCACTTCTTAAGACTACACCAAACTGGATATCAATTTTCGTTAGTACTGCCATTATTATTATACGCAACAAAATTTAAAACGTGACATACTTTATATGCATGGTAAAATTACAAGAATGAAACTGCACCATTAGCTGTTGGTGTACTGTACTTTGACCATCTACGACGAGTATACTGTACGAAAGCACGTGATAAATTTCTTGCTATTTACTGGCTAAAATGACATAAATATGACAAATTGTTATTGCACCTTCAGATTGAAAATTTTGCCACCTTTCCAGTTTCCTCTCAGACAACAAAATAACGAGGAAATTTTATGTCTGAGAACTTTGTATTCTTGAGAGGAACGTGACGTCATCAATAATACAGTCGCCATGTTTAGGGTTTGTAACCTGGTTTTGTACGTCCAAAAAGTACATTTTGGCTTTCATTTTTTTGTTTTGCGTTTTGGCTGCATTTAATCTTTTTCATTTCAATGGACTGTAATTTTTCTATCATTTAAACCATTATAAGATGGTGGGACAGTCACAATGATTTGTGCTACACAGTGAAATTTAATGTTCCTCGGAAAAAACGATTATAAAGCACAAATATACCAGCAAAATGCCCCTCAGTTTAGCAAGTTAATATTTTAATAATAAACAGTTATTGGATGAGGTTGAGCATGATATCTAGAATTATTCAGACCGAGGTCAATGTCATCTGCCGAATCATTGATGGAAGAACTTTTGAATCTTTTTTGGAATCTTTCAGCATGGAAACAATAAGTGAATTAACGCTTTAACCCTCTAGAAGCCGGACATTTTCGAAAGTTTGCACACATCTCGTTTGGTGAGTGCTGCTCGTGGGCAGCAACGGTTTCTAGAGGGTTAAAAAGTGATTTCTCGTTTCATCCTTGTTATATTCAAACACCTTGTATCATTTCATGTACTTCATGTTACGCAGTTTATGGTACCACTTTTTTAAGTATAGACTTCATGTAACAGTTATTTATCGATCTGCAATAAAATTACCGCTGTCATGACTCAGGAGGGTTTGTCTGTATTGTTAGTTATTCATATTGAAATTACTGTTTTGCTATGGGCAATATCTGGTGTTCTTTATGAAATGCCGAAATATGCGACACGTTGGCAAACGGAATTCCTTTTAAAGTAAATGACTCTGAAGATGACAACCGCTAAGGTTGTCGAAACGTCAGTCAACAACAACAAAAACAGTCCTTCTCAGGACTATACCAATCTGGACAATCTACATTTACAAGCATGGAATTCATATTGTTTTGCAAAATGTCACTGCTCTCGTAACATTTAGATCAATGAATGTTCCAGATCAAGACTGCTCGCTGCATTCTTTCAAGTCAATGTTCGCTGAAATTTTGACGCTCTTCATCAGTGATGAATGGAAGCAAAGCTAAGTTCGAGATCAAATCAAAAGTACGCAAGTATTGAATGATTTCGATTCGTGCTTCTTTATCGTTAACTGGTCTCTTTAGTGACCGCAGTTCGACATTTTAATAGCCAATGTATGGGCATTAAGAATAAAAGTTCCTGCTCGTCCAAACGCTTTCTTCATCACTTTATTAGTTGAAGTTACTTGCTCATCTGCATCATATATGGTTAAAGGACACATGCAACATAAAATTCGGATTGTTATTTTTGTACTTTACATGAAGGTATAGCTACAACTAATAGTTCACCAAAGTTTGAGACTCAAAGGATAAATATTTTTGAAGATATGGAGGTTTAAAGTTGATGCTTTACTGATAACGTATTGAAAATGCCCGACGAGCTAGCGACAGCTACCGATGTCGTTGTGACGTAATAGTTGACATTAGCTAAACGCGGTCAATTGCGCGCTTCGTTCAAAATATATTGGTAACTTCTTAACAACACGACAATTTAGCATTGAAAATATGGTTTATTGTGCCGCATTTAATTGTAAAAACGGTTCTTCTAAGAACCACGAAACACAGCAAAAGGTTTCTTTTTTTTCGTTTCCCGAAAACAAGCGCATGCAGGATATTTGGATTGAAAAATCCGACGCAAAAATTGGAAGCCAACAAAGAGCTCAAAATTGTGCTCGCAACATTTCGAGAGTTCGTGCTTCGTGCAAAATTTTGAAGCGATGCAATCAGTAGGATGGACAGCAGGACGGCTTCGCCTTAAGAAGGATGCTGTACCCACGATTTTTGAATACTCTGTGGAACCCACAAGTGTAGCATCTAAAAGGAAGCAGCCAACAAATGTTAGAACTGCATTTGAGAAGAGACGAAGGCAAGAGCCAAGAGGTGAATATTATAGTTATAGTTAGCAATATTTGTTTACATTTATCAAAAACTAAGCTATATAGCATTACCAAATTGAAGACAATTTTATAATTTTAGATTATTGACGACGTTCTTGCAGAACATGACGACTTTCTTGTAGACGACGACCACGATGTGTCGACATCGGCTCGAAATGTTTGTGCGTTTTACCTCAAAGGAAGTTTGTCTAAGATGAATGATGTCAAAATATATGTAGACAGCGAAACACAAACTTATACAGTGGTAACTAATTCAGACTAATGTCGTTTGATCTTTTCTTTGTTATTTTAACTCATAAAAAATTCCTTAACGTACCTTAGAAGCACAATGTGAAATGCCAAGCAGCCATAACAATCCGTCCGCAAAACACGTAAGGTCAAGAACCACTCAAACAAAAGTGCCAAATATGATAAGTAGAGGTATAGACTTTCCATTCCGGCCGTTTTGATTTTGTGAAAAATCCAGCAATACGATAATTTTATGCTAAGGTACGGAGGTTGAGTTCATTTCAACAAAAAATCACAGCACACAGACGACGTCATGTGAAATTGAACATTTTGAGGATAGCGCTGTATGGTCTGATACAGAAAGCACGTCGACGATGAGCAATAGCAACAATGGATCTGACTCTCAATGTTCAAATGAGTTGCGAAAATGAAGAATCCGACAATGACAATGCAACGTTAGTACCAACTATCCAGTCACCTGACTATTCTTTACATTGCTTTTCTCTGTTATGTTTCTCAGAACGTTACGTTTATCTCTCTGATTCTGATGGTAATTTTATGTTATAGGAAAACGTTCAAAATGAGAGAAAATACATAGTGTTTGATAGTTGCCTGAGACAGTTAGTGAGTCAATGCCCATGTTGTGGTGAAAGCTGTTCCATTGTGACCAAAACGGCTGGTAGTATGGTTAACGTACTAGCAAAATGTCATTGTGGTTATGTTCGAGACTGGAATAGCCAACCTCTGCATGGGCGAATGCCTTTGGGCAACTTGGTCTTTGCTGCCAGCATCTTGTTTAGTGGTAGTAGCCCCAGCAAAGTTCTTAAATTCCTTCGTCACTCAGGCATACAATTTCTGTCAGAGCGCACATATAGCAATATTCAAACAGCGTATTTGATACCCAGTGTTTCAAATGTTTGGCATATGAACCAAAAGCATCTTCTAGAATCAATCAGAGAAAGGAACATTAACCTTGGAGGAGATGGAAGATGTGATTCGCCTGGATACTGTGCCAAGTATGGGTCATATAGCTGCATGGATTTGGAATCTAACAACATTTTAGACACACAACTTGTTCAGGTAACAATTCTTCAACAACTGTACATAAAACATGGTTAGAATACTAACATAATTATGTTACATAGTGCAATGAAGTGACGAACTCTGAAGCAATGGAACTTGAGGGATTAAAGAGATGTCTGGCAAAGTTTGATGAAAGTGGGATGAAGGTTAAGTCAATGACCACAGACAGACATGCTCAAATCAAATCCTACATGAAAACAAAGACCAAAATCAAGCACTACTTTGATGTATGGCAGCAAAAGGTATAGATTGTAATAACAAACCAACCTTTTACACATTTCATCAATAATCAAAATCCAACAGGAATTAAAAGAACATTTGGGCAGCATCAAAAAAGTGGTTGCAAATTATTGTCAGATTGGGCCCAATCAATTTCCAACCATGTATACTGGTGTGCTGCTTCCAGCAATGGTGATGAAGAACTTGTCAAGGCAAAGTGGTTGTCAGTTCTCAACCATATATGTGACATCCATGAGGACATAGTGATGTATTCCCAAAATGTGAATATGATATGTTAGAGCCTAGAATGTGGATAAAAAAAGGTATTGTAAGCGAATAAATTTCAAAGTAACATCAACATTCTTTTTTTTTGTTAACTAACTTCTGATCTTAGGTTGAAAAGCTTATGTTGAGCTGTCTTCGATTGTTGAGTCCAAGTATCTCATGACAGATAATGGAAAACTCAGTTATCAAAAGCAGACTTCATCCATCAAAGGTTTCCACCGAGTGGTAATTCTTTTTGCACCAAAACATACTTAATTTTTTCTACAGATCAATGGAAGCAAGGTAATATAAAAATGATTTGTGTATGATTACTTAAAAAAAGTCATCATTGCAAAAGCAATAAGTTGCAATAGTTGTAAACATAAACTTAACATTCATTTGTAGATTGTTTATTGCCGCTCTTCATTTCAATGAGAATGGAAACAAAGCTCATAAAATGAAGAATGATGGGGAAACAGAAGAGGAATTGATTTGGAGAGTGGCTTATTCAAATTCAAAAGAAGGGCAAGGGGATATCAAACCAGTGAAAATTGACAGCACTTATGGTTAGCACAGAAAAATAAACTTACTTTTCTCAAAGTGCAATGCAAAGCCAACATAAATAATGATTTGCTTTTCAGGATATGTTAAGGACTTGATGAAAGAAGTTTTGTACTGCAGACGCATTAATCCAACACTGTCCGAAGCTCTTCATGTCTGGAGTGAAAGAAATACCTGTCCCATTGACTTGCCACAAATCAAAATCAGCAAAGCTGAAGCCATTCAAGCAACATAAATGTAACTTTTATAAATAAAAGATAATAGAAATAGCGTTCCACATGAAATAAACATAATTACAAATGAACAGATTTTGTCATACACCATAAGCCCTACCATTCAGTAGTGTTGAACATATTCAAATCCTTTGTATTCTCCAGAAGGCGAAGGAAATGCTTTCGGATTTTGTCTCCAGCACAAGAAGGTATGGGTAGTCTGTACTTTCCCAACCTGCCATGCACCCAAGCCGTCCACTGTCGGTACAACGTGTAGCGTTATGTTTCTTGAAAGATACAAAATTTTGTCTAAGATACTTATCGGCATTATACACTTCTCGACATACACGTAATTATACTTCTAAGGTAATATTTACTCGTTTTCTTCGCTCTCAGGTATAGGTCCAATGTCATGTGTGTACGACCATAGCTGTTTTACGACAGCTTCGTTTGTACACACTGTGGCAAACTCTTCCTCTTGTGTGATGCAAATATGATCGCCATGTATCAGATGATCAGTGTTGCTTACCTCTTGGCAACATATACTTTCCCGTCCTGTACTCATGACCACACAAAAGCCACACTCGCTTAAAAGATAAAACATTCCTTTTACTTTGGGAAAACAATGAAACATCAATAAAATGCAACTAACCATTCAACATTTCCAAATCTGTGAATGTATTCATCTTCCGATGACGGAGAATTGTCATTACTATGACCACCTTGCGCGTTGGCCAAAGGCTCAAACATGCAAGGTTGTACCTCATTGTTATTGATGAAAATATCATAATCGGCTTATTCAAAAGAAGAATCCATTAATTTTGTTAAATAAAAACAAATAACTAGCAACTACCTTAATAGCAAACTACCGAAAGTTGTGCTAGTCGTAGTTGTGCTATGGGAAGAGCTGTATTGATGAGCCTTTAATCCAGAGATTACATCGTGGTGAGTGCGTCGTAAAAAACTCTGAGCTGTAGCCATTACGCAATTTTCCGTCCCTCTGTCAGTTCTTATGATTGTTGGGCAGCTTTGTTGTTCTTTTACACAGTTTAGAAACAAGTTTGCAATAACATTAGGATTATTATTGCTTTTTGTGATCTCAAGCCACATGATGCGTCGACTAAAACCGTCAATGCATCCGTGAATTGGGAATCAAAAGGTTTCAATTTATCATATCCGTCAGCGTGCCAACAATGATTTGGCCCTGGATTCAGGTATACTCTCTTTGGAAGTCGATGTGCTCTGCGTAATCTTGACCCTTCAGGGTCGAGTTCCTGAAGGATTGATTCTACAAATTTACGAGGAACACACATTTCGTACTTTCGTTGTAGCAATCGCCACATTGCTCGATACCCAAGCAGTTGACCACAACCATCTAGTTCGCGCTGAATGCATTCCCTTACCTGATCTCGAGAGGCATTATAATTCCTTTTACCCAATCCAAACTGGTACAATTTACTTTTAAGTGTTCTCATACACATTTTTATGCCATGAAACTTCTCCAAAAACTCTAAAATAGTTCTATATTTGTAGTTTTTCTCATAGTAATATCTTATGGCTTCCTCCATATTTGCGACACGGCAGATGTTATTAATGATGCACTAAGCATGTTTTGAAAATGTCGAGTTGCATTTGAGTATTCAATTTGTTTGTGTGAATTTGCGTATGTGTATTTGAATTTGTGTTTGTGTATTTGAATTTGTGTTTGTGTATTTGAATTTGCGTTTGTGTATTTGAATTTGTGTTTGTGTATGTATTTGTGTTTGTGTATTTGAATTTGCGTATGTGTATTTGAATTTGCGTTTGTGTATTTGAATTTGCGTTTGTGTATTTGGTTTGTGTATTTGATTTGTGTTTGTGTATTTGAATTTGCGTTTGTGTATTTGAATTTGTGTTTGTGTATTGATTTGCGTTTGTGTATTTGAAGTTGTGTTTGTGTATTTGAATTTGTGTTTGTGTATTTGAATTTGCGTTTGTGTATTTGAATTTGCGTTTGTGTATTTGATTTGCGTTTGTGTATTTGAATTTGCGTTTGTGTATTTGAATTTGCGTTTGTGTATTTGAATTTGCGTTTGTGTATTTGAATTTGCGTTTGTGTATTTGAATTTGCGTTTGTGTATTTGAATTTGCGTTTGTGTATTTGAATTTGCGTTTGTGTATTTGAATTTGCGTTTGTGTATATGAATTTGCGTTTGTGTATTTGAATTTGTGTTTGTGTATTGCACTTCTGGGCCACCGTAGGAATCCAAAATGAAAACAAATATACTTTGATTTTTCACGGTCAGTAATCATTATCGTCTTTGTATTTTTGTTATATAAAACAGGCATTGTTAACATAACAATTTGATTTTAAAGAACCATCAATGCTGATGACTCCTGAATCACCAGATCTTGCAAACCTTACAAAATCTACCATAAAAGGTGCATAAAATTTTTTATGTGAATTATATTTAAATAAGTAGTAAGTTATGTTTCATTAATTGAAAATGATTTTTTTTTGTAACACTTGTTGACGTGATAAATTTATTACCAGTTTACAATTTGCTTTAATAAAGCAAAAAAATTTTTCATCAAATTACTTATCTCTCAAGTTTAGATGGTAACAAGGAGTCGAAGATGAAGAATACTCAAAATGATAATGAATCAAGCAGTTTTTCACGTCCTATAAGGCAGTCTGCTGAAAATGCAAGACAATCATTACGTGATATGGTAGAAGATATGGAAAAGTCAAATGATGAAAAAATGAGTGAAGATAGTGCTACTGATGATGAAGATAATATTGATGAAAGAAATGTAGAAAGTACAAGTGAAGACACAAAGGTAGTAACTAGTAGTGTCTCGAGCAAAGATATTTATGTCAGTAAGTTTTATATATATATAAAAATGGCCTCTACTTTAAAATTAGCAAACCTTTGTAGTTGAGAGTAAATTTAAAGTAACTTGTGGTTCATATGACTCATAGTTTTGTAAAACATCTATTGGTGGTGATAAAGTATTTTACCTTATCCCAAAGCAATTTATCTACAGTCAATTGATGAATTTTTATTTTGAAGTAAAGACCTTTGAGTGTGTGTTTTACCTTGAAGAATATAAATGTTCTGTTTCTGAAGAATCTTTGACAATGTGGAAGGAGGTACCATGGCATGTTATTTTTATCAGCAGCACATTTTATGTATCGATTGATCACATGCTGAATGTTTTGTGTAGATTATTACACAGAATTCAGGAATAGTGTCTGATGTTTACTGTGATAAAGTTACATATTTTTTGTGTCCTCATCATCATGGACTTTATTACAAACAGGTACAAAAACTAATATCTCAATTTCTGCTTGACAGTTAATTATGCAATTTTGTACAATAAGTTTTAAAACAGTCTGTGGCATAATTTACGTATTTGGTTTGAATTTAGATTATCAGAAATAAAAGTCTTAATTTTCAGCATGTAATGTATTCTGAAAGAAATATGATTTCATTTATTTCGTTTGACTTTTGCCAATTTTTTTCATCTCCAGGCTCTTTCTGAAGGAAAACGAATAGTCACGTGTCATTGGTTGAATGATGTAATTCAAGGGCAGAAACTCATTCGTCCAAAATATCCAATTCATTTACCTGTTCCATTTAAAGATAAGGTTCAACGATGTCGAAGTATGGTATGTATTGAACGTATTTTACAAAGGTCAGCTGCGATATTTCATTGTTTTGTGATTATTTTTTCATTGTATTGTGTACTCATCTTAACCTAAGATCTTTAACATATCTTTGGCGTTTAGATCATTTCTCTCACTGGATTTCAAGGCATTGAACGAGAGAAACTGAAAGATATGGTTGATCTTGTTGGTGCTAAGTATTGTGGATACTTAAGTCGATCTGTCACACATCTTATATGTAAAACGTAATCGTCTCAAAATATGTTTTAACAAACTTTAACTTTAACTTGAACAGAAGCAAACTTCAATCTTTATTAAGTTTTCACGTCTTCAGAAATTTAATGCTTCGTTTGCGCATTTTTATAGTGACAAATCTTTGAAATATGAACGTGCTAAGGATTGGGGCATAATTTGCACAAACGCTGCTTGGCTCTGTGATATTGTTGCTGGTATTTTATCTCATATATATTATTTAATTTTTTTCGGAAATTATTCTCTGTCCATCAATTTATAGGATTTCACCCAATTACTTTTGTGCTGTATCTTTGCGAATATATTTCTGCTTATTCGCCGCAAAAATAATGAATAAAATTAAATTTTCTAAAGAAATACATGAAAATTTTCTTTGTATGAGTAAAGTGGGTTTTGTTTTGTAAGTGTCGCCGTATAAAGTCGCTCATTGTGGATTCATTTATTCATTCATTATTTGTTAACCGTCATGGCTAACTTCTAAAATAAATGTCGATTTCTTCTTTGGAAAGAACGCAGGAAACCTCGGGAATAGCACTCCTCATTTTCACAGACCATTCCTTCGTGTTCTTTTGAACTTCTTTAACACGATTCTATGCGAGGAAAGCAAGTTCAACTCTTTTACGATTTGCCATTTCAATAAAAACCACGAGTTTTTCTTTTTAATTCATTACAACACAACAAAAATACAACGCATGCGTCGATTGGTTTGCTTAAGTTTCATTAGGGAGCTTTAGCAAAGAGTACGAATTACGTCATTTTGGCGCGAAAACATTGTGACATCAACAACTCGTAGCCGTCATCAATCTGAGTACGATATCTATGATGTCTTTTAAAGAAACGAAAGTAGGTATATTTATTTATTGTGCAAGAACTTAGTTTACAATACTTTTTTTTTGACCTTCCAAGCTTTATTTCAGTACCTTTTTATGAACGCAGGTTTACAATAAAAACGAAAATACGACCTGCAAAACTTCCATGTATCTGGGACGCAAAGTGAATTATAAAAAGACAATAAAGTAATGCAAATATACAATCCATAAAAGGTAGAATAATGAAGATTTTTCTCTCTAAACAGTCCTATACCAACGCTAAATCAGTATTACGAATTCATCGATATTATTATTAACAAATAGAGCCGTAGCTGCTTCTCAAAATGCGGTGTTTTTCACAGGAAAAAGCTCGTTCTGTTGTTTACGGCTAAAACAACCATTTGACGACGCGACAACGACCACGAACTTCCTCGTGCCATTCCCTTACACGGTCAAACTTCGTACACGTAGTCGTACTCTTGCTAAAGCTCGCTATTAAGTTGAAGATTTTAAGTTTCAGTTGAGCAGATTAAGTTTTCATTAGTCTGTGCAAACCAATCTGTGATCAATCAATTAAATTAATTAAAGAGAATGTTGCAAATCGATCATGAATACATTAATGAGGGGGTTAAGAAATTTCCTTGAAATTTTGTTTGGCATTATTGTTATTTTATGAAAGAAAAGAATTTTTCCATGTTTACACAGGTTTATGCAAACCACAGAGACGTTTGTAAAAACTCTCGAGCAGGTTCAAACACGGCAAATATCTTTTATGATAAATAGAGGTGAAAAAAAACATTACCTCTATTATAGTCTTGTGTTTCAGAACACGCTCACACCCATTACGTAAAAATGATTTTAAAGATTCTTCTTCTCGCTTCAACTCTACTTCTGTTGATTTTAATCTTTACATAATTGAGGTAACATAAAAAATGAAAATATCACGATTATTTGAAGTGAAATTCATGATGAAATCCCGTAACAGTCAAAATGAAACATGCTCATAATTACTTTCTCCTCAAAGTACCTTTCTTTGGCATCCTCGAGTTTCTTTCGTTTTCCCGACATTTCTGTTTGATTATCCAATCTCAATCGATCTATCAGATTACGCTGATCTTCAATTCCGTCGGACAAAATTTTTAATTCTTCGTCGTATTGCTGAGAAGAATCAATGATCAACATTCACGTAGAGATAAAGTTTAGAAAGTTTCGATGCACGATAAACGAGAAGTAGCCAGATTTTGCAATACAGCAAGTATTTCAGGCAGACGTTAATTTTCAAAGGTAAACAGTTTGAAAATCCTGTACCGAATTGAAAATTATACGAAAAACATTTTCCGAAAGTGGATTACTTTGGAATACGCGATCAAAAAATGTAGACAAATGGAACGCCAAAATGTTTCAAAACTGATCAAAGCGCCACATTCCATCGGAAGTGACGCTGCCACATAATAATTAACATCATTATAAACCGCGTTCGTGTGCAAGTCACTGATCTGATAATAGACTGGATATAGCTTCTACAGCAAAAGTGAAGCCTAATTATATATGCAAAATTAACTCCCGGGTACCACGGCGAGATACACATTACTTTAAAAATGTATGGCGGATAACGTTTACAAACATGGATTTTCGAATATTTAAGACCTTTCGCGACTCCTTACTAACCTCAAGTATTAGTCATGGATATAAAGGTTATGCGAATCGATTTGACATCAAAATGATTCCTATAGCTGTAGAATATCGACGTTAGTGTTGATTTAAAAGTTGTACATGCGAGAATGTATTTTGTCCCATCGTTGCCAATGCAAGATAGTTCACTGCTCGCTTTCCAATTTCTGAGGCATTTATGATCTAGTATACGTTTCAGTTCTTTAGAAATGAGGCGAGTTACTTTTTTTATCATTCTTTCTTTATGTTGAGAGATTGTTGACATTTTATTTTTACTGTAACTTCATTTTTCATGAGCAAAGTACTACTGATGCTTAAACAAGACAAGTTTATTTAGTTTCTTTCGCACTTTATCTTTAGTTTCCATTTCTGTAGTTGTTTTCTCAAATGGTAAACTCGCAATTTGCGCTTAATTATTTAAAGAAGTATGATTTTCATTGACATTAAAATCCCACAAATGCGTTCTACACACATTAGGACACTTTAGTAAACTGCTTTTGAAACATCAAGGTAATTTAGCCAGCCAGGTATGAATTTGGAGGCCCTTTAAGAGTGCAAAAGCTGGGTGCATTGTTTAATCTTTATAATCATCTTGGTTTTGGTTTGTCTCTTAAGCAGATTTAAATTATTAACAGCAACATAAGACTGTGTCCACAGTTTATAATTATAAGTGTATCCAATTGTATCCAGTATATCAGTTTCACATTGTCTTGTGCTAATTCCTTTACAGCCATGAACACTGCTTCTCAGCAATAGTTTATTGTCTACAGCTGTAAATTGTTCAACTTATCGATTATTAAAGTCACACTTTACAAGTGGAATAAAGTTCTTGTCTTTCTTATTACTACAAGACTTAAGACTGATGATCAAACTATTGCTGAAAAGGATTCTAATGTCAACTGCAATTCATATTTATACCATCTCTAACTACATTCATATCTTAAGAATAATTTTAATCTTTTGGAAAATATTTAAGGCATTAATATTACATTCATACGAACTATGATCTTCTGGAATTTGCTTAGCACTTAGAAGAGGAAAATGAAATTTACTGAATGTAAAAAGGCAGTAATATCGTACATGGCTGGCTATATTGCCCAGATGGTGCCAAAGAAAATAAACTGTCCAGTTTGTCATGAAGCAGTCGGTTAAGAAACCATAAAAATGAGTCTGCTTTCTTGACTTTAAAAGACAGGGGTAATTTGTTTAAGCCAACAGCAAGTGTTATAGTAATATGCAATGAAACAGAGAGATGCCTTCAGAGAATGTTAGCAGCTACAAATGGAAATTTACTGCAAGGGAAAGGAATTCCTGATGGTATTGCTTTGTCTGTAGTAAATGGTATAGATTTGAGGACCACATTCAAGGATCTCGACGCAGACATGTTGAATACTACTGTTCACGAAAATCATATTTACTCATTAAGACCATATATAAATGTTACAGCAAGGTGCGAGTATACCATTTGAGAAAAACAACTACAGAAATGGAAACTAAAGATAAAGTGCGAAAGAAACTAAATAAACTTGTCTTGTTTAAGCGTAAGTAGTATTTTGCTCATGAAAAAATGAAGTTACAGCAAAAATAAAATGTCAACAATCTCTCAACATAAAGAAAGAATGATAAAAAAAGTAACTCACCTCATTTCTAAAGAACTGAAAGGTATACTAGATCATAAATGCCTCAGAAATTGGAAAGCGAGCAGTGAACTATCTTGCATTGGCAACGATGGGACAAAATGCATTCTCGCATGTACAACTTTTAAATCAACACTAACGTCGATATTTTACAGCTATAGGAATCATTTTGATATCAAATCGATTCACATAACCTGTTTTATCCATGACTAATACTTGAGGTTAGAAAGGAGTCGCGAAAGGTCTTAAATATTCGAAAATCCATGTTTGTAAACGTTATCCGCCATACATTTCTCGAGTAATTTGTATCTCGCCGTGGTAACCGGAAGTGAATTTTGCATATATAATTAGGCTTCACTTTTGATACCTGCAGAACCTATATCCAGTCTATTATCAGATCAGTGTTGCCAGTCCATGTACACAGTCGTACCTATTTTTAGTTTAGATTTAACCAGTTTTCAAAACAATAAATTTGCTTAACACTTCTGCCGGCATTTATATTTTCCCGCTAAAGTTTTCGCCATTATTGAAGAGCAACGCAGACATTCAAACATCAATTTTCAACGTCAAAACTGCAGTCGAAAAGCGAAAATATTAAGCGATTCACTGATAAAGAACTCTTCCCGAAAAACCACCATTTAAGTTCGGATCATCTGCCTGGTAAAACCATGAATATGGCAATTTATTTTCTTTGTTGTAGCTGAGAATTGTAAATGAACAGTAAAACGGCTATAGCTTTAGTATTGACCTAACATACGAAATACAACAACGCCTTTGGTAACTCCCACTAACTAGCGCTGTGTGCTTGAGCCGGTGTTTTGATGTTTTTCCAAACTGAAACAAAAAATACAGCAAACATACGAAGTTATTGTTGATGAAAAAGCAAAAACTTCAAAAAAATCGAGTATTTTATGTATTAAAAATAACATGACGCCATTGTTGCATTGGTAACAAGATAGTCCAAGAATGACTATTTTTTTACTATAAATCGATGGTGAGCCAGGCCGCAATATCTTCTTCATCATCAAAGACGTCAAAGCGAGTTACAGAGAAACGGTATCCTTCGAAAAATCCGGCAAACAAACTTTCTAACGGAGCCTGTTTTAACAGCAGTCAGAGCCGGATTTTGCTTGGCCGGAGCGCGAGGTGAAAACGCGGAGTTTTACACAGTAAGACCGCTAAATCAAACGAATTTTCGTTTCGTCTAACAGTT